TGTTCTCCACTTTAAAACACCTGAATGTTTACCCCTTTAGAATACCTGTATGTTCACCCATTTAGAACACCTGTATGTTTACCTCTTTAGAACACCTGAATGTTCATCCCTTTAAAACACCTGCATGTTCACCCCTTTAGAACACCTGCATGTTCTCCACTTTAAAACACCTGAATGTTTACCCCTTTAGAATACCTGTATGTTAACCCTTTAGAATACCCGTATGTTCACCCCTTTAGAGCACCTGTATGTTTACCTCTTTAGAACACCTGTATGTTCACCTCTTTAAAACACCTGTATGTTCACCACTTTAATACACCTGTATGTTTATCCCTTTCGAACACCCGTATGTTTACCCATTTAGAATACCTGTATGTTCACCCCTTTAGAACACCTGTATGATCTCCACTTTAAAACACCTGTATGTTCACCCCTTTAGAGCACCTGTATGTTTACCTCTTTAGAACACCTGTATGTTCACCTCTTTAAAACACCTGTATGTTCACCACTTTAATACACCTGTATGTTTATCCCTTTCGAACACCCGTATGTTTACCCCTTTAGAATACCTCTTTAGAACACCTGTATGTTCACCTCTTTAAAACACCTGTATGTTCACCACTTTAATACACCTGTATGTTTATCCCTTTCGAACACCCGTATGTTTACCCTTTTAGAATACCTGTATGTTCACCACTTTAGAACACCTGTATGTTCTCCACTTTAAAACACCTGTATGTTTACCACTTTAGAACACCTGTATGTTTACCTCTTTAGAATACCTGTATGTTCACCACTTTAGAACACCTGTGTATGTTCACCCCTTTAGATGATTTGTATTAAAACAATAAATGACAGATATTTGTTTATACCTGAAATGATTTGCTGATTACGTGTTACCTGTAATCCTTTAGTCTCGGTCACCAAGAACCTACTAGTCTTCGGGGAATTCCCCTTGTCAGTGGTGCAGAATGGAGGGACTGGCATCTAAAGGGCATGCCCCTCACCCCACCCCAGACCTATAGTGGTAGAACTATGTTAGTAATGACAGTCCGCACACAGACAGCTAGCTACTTCGAGAATAGATCTCTGCTCTAAATGGAAAGGTCGAAAGGTTAGCACATGCGCGCTTTATCATAAGGCCTGTCATTGAGTCAACTGGCGTGGTTTCGATTCCACGTTGTACGTGACAAGGAGTAGGGTCGCCCGTCTAACCTCGTGGGTTTTCTCTGGGTCCTCTGGTTCCCTACCACTGCTAAAGACCCCTACGCGCTAGCGAATTATTGAAATAAAATTGAACCATATGTTAGTCCAGAAATGACGGGGGGGGGGCTGCCGAATGGTTAGAAATAAAATTGAACCGTATGTATCACCCCTACCTACCCGTCCATAATTCTAATCTTGAAATTACATTCTAGTCATTCGCATTGGACGAAAAACCAAGGTTCCGTTTACACATTAGCGTGAATGGAACATAACTCTTGACATTTGAATTACATAAGTGCCCTTAATCACGTTGAAATAACTGGGGACGGTCGAGACTTAGCAAAAAGTGTGATCTTTGAATCCCTACATAACGACCTAACCCAAAGGAATGCAAAACTTACGAAATCCATATATTGGGATCATTTTAAAAGTACCTCCTGATAGACTGCCCAGATTTTCGCAAGCTTGAGATTAAACTCGACTCCGCCCCATTAGAATACGTCACCAGTATACAGCCACCGCTAAACAAGACATTTTAACGTGAACTCGTCGAGAAACCAAAAATACATCGAAATCAAATGGGGTTTGCTGGAAATAGATATGGTGTTCTGTGGCGGTTATATTATTAATCCAATGTCCATATAATCAGGCCCGTAGATAGATTCCGGACCTAGAGTGGCGGGGTGGGGGGAGGGGGGTACAACAAGCAAGCCAGGAGTGAGGACACGAAGCCCCAGCGGTCGAGTCTACAGAAAAAACAGAGCACGTTAAATCAGAGACACGTATTACCAATGATGAGTATAGAGCACTTCACATAAATATACCAATGATGAGTATAGAGCACTTCACATAAATATACCAATGATGAATATAGAGCACTTCACACAAATATACCAATGATGAGTATAGAGCACTTCACATAAATATACCAATGATGAGTATAGAGCACTTCACACAAATATACCAATGATGAGTATAGAGCACTTCACATAAATATACCAATGATGAATATAGAGCACTTCACATAAATATACCAATGATGAGTATAGAGCACTTCACATAAATATTGGTATTTACAAAGCACCGACAAAGTTAGTCGATAGTTTCACTTATCCCAAATATTTGACCTATCTGTCAAAACTTTCACCATTGCTTCAACACTTCAAAGAGAGGAATCAATATTTGTCATTTGTCAATTTGAAAATATATAGATTGGTTAAATATCAAAGTTTACACTTGTCGAAGTATTGAGTTACATGTTATATAAACAATATTAATAAATTGTAGCGTTAATATCGTTTGATGTCCTTTCAAGAGAAATGGTCCTCATTTCATTGCCTAATTATTTGACTCCGTGATGGTGATAAATTTTAAATGTATGTTAAGTCGCTCGGAGTTGTACATATTGTTTGTTTAGTTTTCATGTTGAAGTGTTACCGGTGCGTGTGTGCTTGTGGGAGCCGCGGTGGCCCAGTGAGTAAGACGCTGACTCTTTAACCAGGAGGACTCTAGTTCGCTCCCGGTGTTGGGCGAGAAAACTCACAGGGACTACTTTTTCAGAGGTACAGGAAGGGGGTCTGGCTCGGATGGTAAAATTAAATCGAGGTCAAGTGTAACATATTGACTAGAAGAACCACTGGCAGTTAAAAATTTGAGATAGCTGTAGACCGTAGCGGCGCTGTCCGAGCCATATCCCCCCCACCCCAGACACACCGCATGGCGTATTCCCAGTCTGTGCATGGAAGTAGAGCGTTAAAGTTCATCTTATTTCGTTCGTGTTTGTTAAAGGCATGGTTTGATATTGTGTTGTAAATAATATAATAGATATATTAAGACAGGTAAAGTAGATAAAAGTACAGGTGAATGGCCGTTATTAATGATGTACTATTATCGTTAAGGCATACACAATATTTCATCTACTACAGGTAAAAATACAGGTGAATAACCGTTATATACTATTACCGTTATAATTCATCTTATACAAAAAATTGTTGTAATACTTAATATTTAAATTTTCCCATAAATTGTTGATAAGGGATTTGTCTTGTTTAACATTTGGCTTTATTTTCTAATATCAGAAATTCATGAAATTGGGAATGTAAGTAGATCTAGTTGACATGTAATAGGAAGAAATCGTGAATATGAAAGCTTTCATATCTGCCTGGCAGATCTAATTATTATTATTATTTAAACATACATTATGACGTCACATTAATAATGATGTCATTGTATTAATCATATTAAACATACATTATGCAAGAGCAAAATCGGCCTATTGTAGGTCTTTCTATAGGCCTGAAATGTTATAAAATCTATTAATTAGATATTAACTAACTTATCCAGACCATAATCAGCTCTCGATGTCAAGGCTTGACTGCGATATTTGTTGGATTACAGTCCGATTTGCTGCAAAACTTTCCTTCGTGATTAACGATTAAGTGGATAATCAAGACTATTAGTTTTGTCTTATCGACTACAGTAATGATGATCGAGGCTAAGCGGAACTTTCATCGGCTTAGTTCTCGGTTCATAGTAGATCAATTTGACTGAAATTTTCAGCAAGTTGCCTTTACATTATGTAGTTTTTAACTATTATAGTGAGAACTGCCAACTCGTTATCTTTCACTAATTTGTATTAAGCATTTTATACAATTAATCTTTTCCTTCTGTATACATGTATTTAGATACAGAAAGTGACTGGATTTAAATTAACATTAACCAATGGTGACCGAATAATCCCGATAACAACAACATTGTTGAACATTCTTCTTATTTTAACAGTGGGTGGCAACTGTTTGTAGAATTGTAGAATGTTGCCTGGCAACACAACTGAAAGCGTTTTACGGAACCTTGTCACCCTCATCTGTTTCCTTCAGCATCTAATCTTGTGTGGCACGAATTGCGAAATTATTCCTGACATACCTAAAGCTAGTCCGCTGGCTCAAGGAGGCGGGGCGAGAATTGCTACACGAGAAGAGAATTTATTAGATCAGTTCTTTCTAGAGCAGTTATTTGCCCAGATTTCAATTCTGGGTGGGGATAAGGAGTTTGAGGGGGCGTTTCTGAGAAACGGGGTGTCCCTTAAATCAAATCTCTCTCTCTCTGTCTCTCTCTCTCCCTCCCTCTTATAGGCGTATGGCTCGATGAATGTTAGCGGGCCGAATCTGTTCATCTTAGGGGGAACACCCTTCAAAAAGAAAAAGGTTATGGTTCCATCAATTGAAGATCAATAAATATGACATTGATCTTTGGAGAATTATTAGCATTGATTGACGGACATCGACTTGACGTCATAATTTAAAGATGTCGGCGATGACGCCATGCTTGATTTAGTCACGTGATATTTGTGAGACTACGGGGCTTAATCAAATTTACCGTATTTACAACTAAATATAACGGCATACTAGACAAAAACAACGACTCTAATAAGACAAACTATTTCTTTAAATATACAGTAGGAGAGGGAGCCAAGTTGGGTAAAACGGTAAGATGCTGGCTCACTAGCCTGGAGGTCATGGTGTTCATTGGGATTTTCCGACGTGGTTTCCTCTTGTCAGTGGTGCAGGACGGAAGGGTCTGACAAGGACTGCTGTCTTGTCGTTCGGATTGTACGAAAAACCAACGTCCCGTATACACATTGACGTGCACGTAAAAGATCCCTTGGTAGTTTGAATTAGATATAAGAGTAGGCCTTAGCAACGCTGTCCGGGAAAAATTTCCCTCATATCACCCTATGGCGTATGCGCATCTTCATTAGCCCAGTAGGAGCAGAACAGTAGGATGTTACACCCATTTTCATTTTATTTCACGTTACGTCATGTGCATATAAAGGTTAATAAAATAGGTACATTATTTAAACCAACGGCTGCCAAGTAGCATTTGATTACATTTTGCAAGAGATGAATAGAGAACAAGCTAAACAAAAAGGGATTTTTCGTAACATCAAGGGCCATAATTCAGGAAGGTACGATCAGATATGTGCGAATATCGACAGAAACCAAGATCTGTGGGTTATAAACATGCATTTCAAGTTTCATTAAAATTGGATCAAAATTGTGACCTCTAGAGGGTCCACAACATTGATATACCAGATGTTTACACTATTTACGTAGAGGAGCGGCCATTTTGTCTGTCAGTTTTTGAACGGTGGAACGGTGATATATTCGAACCTTTTTGTAAATCAGATAATAACTGTGACCTCTAGAGGGACCACAAGCTAAAAAAACGATCTTTCGTACAATTAGGGGTCATAATTCATCAAGTTATGATCCGATATGCGCAAATATCGACAGGAACCAAGATCTTTGGGTTATAAACATGCATTTCTAGTTTCATCAAAATCGGATCAAAATTGAGAACTCTACAGTGTTCACAAGCTAGAAACGTGATTTTTCGTACAATCAGAGGCCATAATCCATGAAATTACATTCCGATACATGCCAATATCGAAAGGAACCGAGATCTTAGGGTGATAAACCTATATTTCAAATTTCATTGAAATCGGATAAAAATTGTGACCTGTAGAGTGTTCACAAACATTGTGGACGGACGGACGGACAGGGGCGACGACAATATACGCCCACATGAAAATGTGGGAGTATCAAAATCACGTGTTTACATCAACGTTTTAAGAAAGAATAAGGCAGCAGTGACTAACATCACAGACAGACTAATTCTAGCTGTGCACGCTCCTGAAATAAAAATGTATAAATATTAGAAGTTTTTAATTTTAAAATAGTTCACCTTTTAAAGGGAAACAACTGGATTTGTTAATAAAGACAATATTTGTTTGTAAGAGGGGAAGGGTCTCTAATGTATATGGTTTAGATCATAGACTGTGCCATGTCTGGGATTAACAATACAGACATTCGAAATGAAATGAAATGAAATAGGGTTTAAAGTCCTACTGTTCTGCATACGCCATACAGTGTGCTATGAGGGAAACTGTGCCCAGACAACGGCATCCGAACTACTAGACAGCTGTCCTTTCAGGCCCTCCGTCCTGCATCACTGACAAGGGGGAACCACGCTGGAAAATATGTATGAACTTTCTCGGTCAATGCAGGGCTCGAACATCCGACCTCCGGGCCATCGTACCAGGGTCTTACCCACTTAGCCACCGTGACCCCCCAGACATTAGAAATAAGGGTAGGTCGCAGCACACACTGCATGGCGTATGCTCGTCTTCATTATCTCAATTATCTCAAGCACAAAGGTAGTAAGTTATACACCATTTTATTGTTTACCCGTTCCATTATTTACTGCACCATTTCTACCTAAACTCGCCCTAATACAACCAGATATATTATAATCTAATGTTATGTGAGTCATGACAAACATGACCTAATACAACAGGAGATATAATAATCTAATGTTACGTGAGCCATGACAAGGAAACTAGCACTGTTATTTACTGCCTATACCTGACTTAAATATACTGAATGAAGGAATAAAATGAGGTTTAATGGCCCGTCAGTACCAAACGGGCTATATTGTGACAAACATATGGTGATTTATTCGAGACAGGTTAAATATACTCACCACATTGAGCGGTTGCCATAGCAGCGTTATATGTACTTTCAACAGCCCCGTTAAAACAGCCTACATTACTTACACATGTTTTATACGTTGCTAGTGAACTATAAAATAAAAAAAAACAAAGACAAATAATATATAGATTTTGTACAACACATTCTAGCCATATACTTATGGGTCCTATCTGATCCCCCCCCCCACACCAATTGTATGTGTGTGTTAGCTATAAAATCAAACAAACAACGGTCAATAAAACAATCAAATGTAGATTTTGTACACCACATTCTAGCCATATACTAATGGGACCGATCTGTGATTCTCCAATACGGATGGATGAGTGATGAACATTCGCCATTTAACTATTGGTTCCAACTAGCATGACTTCTTTTTGAGGCGTTGAATTTTAGCTTATGAGTAGTCATCATTTCTTGACAATGACAGCACAGTTTTCAATATTAGTTACTGCTATGGTGGAGTTACTTGGTTGAAAATGAAGAAGGGACTGGGTATCATCAGCGTAAAAGTGATGAGAGAGATCGTTATGAGATAGGATTTTACCAAGTTCTCTGGTGTACAAAGTGAATAACACTGGGCCAAGAACCGATCCTTGTGGTACACCTTGATGTAGAACTGATTTATCAGAGGAAGCACTATTAATATGAACAGACTGCACACGATCAGTCAGATAAGATATAAATCATGATGATGCAATAACGTTAATGCCAAAGTCATGTGATAGAGACTGTATTAGTTGACAATGATCGATTGTATCGAACGCAACCGATAAATCAAGTAGGATGAGCAGACCGACCTCACCAAAGTCGGCAGATATCTGAAGTTCGTTACAGACATGTAAAAGTGCAGTTTCAATGCTATGACCAGGTCTGTAAGTGGACTGGAATCTATCCAGTATGAGTACCGTCTTGAGAGGTTGGATGACAGACGGACTTTTACTACTGTCTTTTCCAACACTTTCGACAAAACGGAAAATATACGGATTTAAATATACTGAGTTAAATATACGAAAACATTACATACCCACAAAAATTGTTTCCACTAGGGTTTGGAAAAGTACAACTTGAAAGAGCTTGAGAGTCACAAGCATTTACACTGGATCCGGAGTCGCTCACTGAATGAATAACAGTAAAATACAAGCTATATAAACCTAGATAAACGTCTTAATTTATTATATTGTGGGGGAAACAAGTGATGGGGATGGCGTAACCTCATCCAGGAACATTTCACAGAAACAGAGTAATGCATGCATATTTTATACTGTTATTCAGTATGGGCGGAGGCAGCGGGGAGGAAGGGGAGAGGGTTAGTACTCTGTCAAAACAGACTGTTATTCAGTATGGGCAGAGTGAGTGACCGAAGGGAGAGGGAGGGGGCCAGTACTCTGTCAGTAGTGCATTAGGTGACCACATCCATGCTTGTTTATTGTTAAATTTTATAAAAGTAGAGAGTCCACATTCAAACCTCGTGGGTTTTCTCCGGGTCTTCCGGTTTCTGTTAGTCCCGAAATGACCTAGTTTATGTCGAGTGGACGTTAAACCCCATTTCTCCTCTCTCTCTCTCTCCCTCCTTTGTCAGACTCTCCACCTTACTCAAATGGAGAACGTTCTCAACCAGCACCAAAATCTACCCCCCGACCTCCTGGTAAGTCAGCTAGCGTCTTATTCATTGAGCCACAACGGTTTGATGAAACTTAGTGAAGTAAAAAAAAAACATTTTTTACATCAAAAGAAACAAACCCGATCGACGAAAATTGTAACCATTTACTATATATACGCGACCCATGCCAAAGGAACTGGTGCAGTTATTTACTCCACCCTTTCTACCTAAACTCTACCTAAAAATACTAAATGAAGGAATAAAATGAGGTTTAATGGCCCGTCAGCATCAAACGGGCTATATTGTGACAAATATCTTATGGTGATTTATTGAGACAAACTAAATATACTCACCACATTGAGCGGTTGACAAAACAGCATTATATGTACTTTCAACAAGCGTAAAACAACCTGCATTATCTACACATGTTTTATAAGTTGCTAGTGAGCTATAAAATAAAAAATACAAAGATCAACACATTCTAGCTTTATACTAATGTGACCGACCTGATTTAAACAAAAGTTGTATGGAGTTGAATATAATATATAACAAACATTTACATACCCGCAAATATTGTTTCCACCGGCGATTGGCAAAGTGCAACTTAGAAGAGCTCGAGTGTCACAAGTATCTACACTGGATCCTGAGTCGCTCACTGAATAAAAGTAAAATACAAGCTATATAAACCTAAATACACGTATTTATTTATCACACTGTGGGGGAAACAGGATACTTAGCACGTGATGGGGATGCCGGAACCTCATCCAACAACATAGTGGGTCAATGGGGATTTGGGGGGCATTAAAACTTATATTGTCCTTTCCAAACTAAATGACGGTGTTCCTTTGCCAGGCCCTCCACCTTACACAACTTGAGAATGTCCGCAACTAGTACCCGTATCTAACCCCATCCTCGGTATCCATAATGGTCTCATTCCGTTCTACTCCACTAACCCCTGGGTTAATCTATAGAGGGGGCACGCTTTTAAGTTATCCGAACTTGATGATTATGCTATTTTTATCGACCAATTCCATATATCGTTAATTGCAAAGGAAGTTGACAAAGGGAAGTAACTCCCCTTCAAGAGACAAGGGTAGAAATTAGCCAGAAGGTAGCCTAAATGAGAGAAGTCCAAATTATACTAAATGTGTATTTATTAACAACAAATTACAATTAGTATTTAATATGTTAATAAAGACCGGACGTTTATATATCTCGGTTCAAGAGTTTTATTGAGAATCAGATTGACAAGTATAGGTTCAATGATAATAAACATAACAGAATGAAACATTTCAGATAAAGAAATGAAATGAAATGGGGTTTAACGTCCTACTGTTTTGCTCCAAACTTCCAACTGTCAAGGGATCTTTTACGTGCACTCCAATGTGTACACGGGACCTCGGTTTTTCGTCTCATCCGAATGACTAGACAGCTGTCCTTGTCAGGCCCTCCGTCCTGCATCACTGACAAGGGGAAACCACGCCGGAAAATCTGGATGAACTTTCTCGGCCAATGCAGGGATCGAACACCCGACCTCCAGGCTAGCGAGCCAGCGCCTTACCCACTTAGCCATTCAGATAAAGAACGAACAGTAACAATAATAACAAAAGTCAAACATATAGATGTTATATATATTTGAAATCATCAAAATATCTGTGACAAGTTTTCAAACTGCTTAAACCCGTCAGTCATCATCTGGAAATGGAGACTGATGTCCCAAGCTGTATAAAAATAATGTGTAGGTGAAATTTACCTTTCATTATCAAGTACAGCACATGGGTCATTAATTGTATAGACCTCTAAAGGAACGGGGATCGATTATCAGGTCATCCAACAAAAAGTATGACCCGAAATCTTAAAAGGGTTACGTGTCCGGATAAGAAATTTTGACGTTCACGTCCAAACGACTCAATATTTTGAGCTGAAATTTTGAGACAGAGTAAGTACACCATTCTTCTAATATCGCGTGTAAATTTCATGCGTACTCGGACTTTTATTTTTGAGACGCTGTTCAAATCAGGATAGTCCCTTTAAATTAGTGGACAAACTTATAATCTAATGTTACGTGAGTCATGCCAATAGAACTAGTATTGGTATTTACTCCACCATTTGCATGAGTGAATAAATAGAGGTTTAACGGCACGTCAGCACCAACCGGGATATACTGTGACAAACATATGGTGATTTATTGAGACAGGTTAAATATACTCACCACATTGACCTGCTGTCAAAGCAGCATTATATGAACTTTCAACAGCCCCGCTAAAACAACCTGCATTATCTACACATGTTTTATAAGTTGCTAGTTGGCTATAAAATAAAAAAAACAAATGGGTAAGACAAAGATCAATAAAATCAAAAAGAAAAAAAAATATAGATTTGGTACAACACATTCTAGCCGCATACTTGCCATTGAACCATCCTGCCTTCCAGGAGATATTTTGCTCCTTGATCAGAGGATTTTTTAAACAAAAGTTGTATGGAGTTGAATATACCAAAAATTTACATACCCGCAAATATTGCCGGTGGTTGGCAAAGTGCAACTTAAAAGAGCTTGGAGGTCACATGTATTTACACTGGATCCTGAGCTGCCAACTGAAAAACATAAAATATAAGAGCTTGAGTGTAACAGGCATTTACACTGGATCCTGAGCCGTTCACTGAAAAACATAAAATACAAGCTATATAAGCCTAGATACCCGTCTTTATATATCTCACTGGGGGGGGGGGGGGGGCAGGATACTTAACATGTGATGGGGATGGTGGAACCTTATTCAAGAAGATTGGTATTACCAGTTATATTGACCATATCAAACTAAAAGACGGTGTTGCTTTGTCTGTCAACCAGCACCCAAATCCAACCCCTGACCTACTGGTAAGTCCCTGACCTACTGGTAAGTCAGTCAGCATCTTATTCATTGCAAGATTTGTATTTGGAGATCTGCAATTAGGAATTTATTGTTCGAGATTTGGTTTTCGTTGTATGTCTATGATGAAATGTAAATGTAGATTATTTATTGATTTACTAAAATAAATTTTGTCTTTATATTAAAATCAAATTAAATTAAACAAAAATACATTTTACAAATCTGATATGACAAATGTCTAATCAGTAAAACACATAATGATTTTAAGATACAAAGTTAATTTTAGTGTACAAATGTCGAAATACGACGACAACAAATGAAGAAATAAGATTTAAGGACTATGAATTAAAAACTAAGAATTAAGAGCGGTTTGGTCTAACATATATATTATATGTCCCGTCACCAGGGTGACGTTAACCACCATTTCATTAACATAATAAAGGTAGAGATAAGAAGAGGAACAAACAGATTTGATGTGGGGGCTTAAACGACATAGTGGAATCTAGAACTGCCCCATATTGTTGACTTCCGGAGTTGGATCAAGACTTTCTTGTCGAAATTAAAGAGATGGTATTGAAAATTTACCAAGATGTTGTTTTGTTCCAATTACCAGATACTCAGTTTGTTCAGGATTTATTTTCAGAAAGGGTGGTGTCATCCATAACCTGATTTCTTCCAGACAGTTTTCAATACTACTTAAAGCTGAAGTAGTGGATTGTTGATTCAGGGAAGCGTTTTCTGTACATCATCGGCATACACGTGAATATTAATACCAAAAGTTTCAAGTGAAGACAATGAACAGTAGATGACCTAAAACTGATCCTTGGGGCACACCACACATCATATAGGGACCTTCATAACGGTTATAGTTGTGTTTATTTCAGACTTTTACCATGCGTACTAAATAATGTTCTCCGTTTTTTGTTTATGTCTTTTATTTTATGGATTAATGTGTTGTGATTGTTGTAATTTTATATTAGTTGTACTTAAGTAAAGCGCCTCGCCTGAGAGCAGCTCGCTGAGTTGAATTGCTGGCGCTATATAAATCATTTATTATTATTATTATTATTATGTAAAAAAAGAGTTAAGTTAGACTGAACACATCATTCAGTGTTGTTTATCAATTCATAGAAATTGTTTCGGTGCCTACAGTTTAGAATCCCAAATAACTAAATAAGGATGAACGATGCAAGATACGTTATTTTCTACTTGAATAAATACTACCGTTTAAAACGCAATAAATATACAATAAATTAAAATTGTGAAACATTGCTGTCACGCTTTTGGTCGGTTGTCATCATATATTTGTAATACATACCAAGATAAGAACGTGTTACAAGCATTATTACTGCAAATCCACAATGGAGAGAAGGGGAGGGGTGGTCTGTGTATCAGCGGAATACAAGTAAATATTAAGACCAAACTTTTCAATGATTATCGTTAAAGGTCAGGTGAAGACAATGAACAGTACAGGACCTAAAACCGATCCTTGGGGCACACCACACACCATAGGGACCTTAACAGATTTGACGTCACCAATCTTGACACATTATTGTCTGTTTTCTAGATATGCTCGGGACCAGGTTAAACAGTGCCTCGACCGCTATTTTGTCCTGCAGAGCTTGGAGCAGGTTCCTGACACCGAGTTTCAAAGGCAGTCGATAAGTCCTAAAGTATCAGCAAAATACATATTTGATCATGTATAGTTTGGTATATATCATTAGTTATTTTGATTGAAGCTGTCAAGGCGCCATGAATTCGTTTGTAGGCAGACTGTAAGGCATTTGTTGGTCGATTCCCTGGTTTCGACGGTTGGTCGAAAAACATGTCTCTGTTAGTTTTGAAATGCAGCTAAGGTTACTGACAGGCCTATACTTTTTCGACATAAATTCACGATCGCGGTTTTGTTTCTTGAGAAGGGGTCGATTGGGTGGAAGAACAGGACCAATCTTGTCTTTACAAAAGTGGTCGGTGCTTGATCCAACTCGTAAAACTTCGATTATATAAAATAAGGTTTAATAGCACGTCAGCACCAACCGGGATATTTTGAGACAGGTTAAATATACTCACCACATTGAGCTGATGTCAAAACAGTATTAACTGAACTTTCAACAGCGCCGTTAAAACAACCTGCATTATCTGCACATGTTTTATAAGTTGCTAGTTGGCTATAAAATAAAAATGACAAATGGGTCATTCCATGTCAAGTTGGCCAGGGGTTGGAAATCGACCCCCTTGAAAAAAAAACCCTGGAAAAAATCTAGAAACTGTGCAAAATTTGTGGCCTGTAGCTTAAACATTGACTGAGATACGGGCATTTGAGTTTAATGAGTTTTTATCTTGTTCTTTACCTTTCTAGTGAAGATGTACAGCTCCAATTGAGTTGTCTTAAAGAACGGTTTGTGTAGATTACGAATCTGCAGTCAGATTCCAGGTGAGTGGTAGGGTTCGTTCGCATGCTACTTGGCCATAAAACCCGAAAAACATTTAGAGTAATTGTATGTTTCTTGGATTGTGTAGTGCTCCAGGAATTACAAAGTAATAGATATAGATATAGACCCAACTTTTGGCCTATCCAGAGAGAGAGAGAGAGAGAGAGAGAGACACACACACACACACACACACACACCCACAAACTAGGTCATTTCGGGACTAACATATGGTTTTGATTTTATTTCAATAATTCGCTTGCGCGTAGGGTCTTTAGCAGTGGGAGGAAACCGGAGGACCCGGAGAAAAATCCACGAGCTTGGACAGGCGACCCTACTGCTTGTCACGTACAACCGGGGATTCGAGCCTATCCAGAGATTGTCGGTAGTATTACATAAGAAACACATGAAAACGCATCAGTTTTCACTAGATTCCCAGAAAATTGGCCTCGAATATGGTTTCAGAAACAAATTTTCGAAAATTGCATCATATTTCGGAGCCGACTGAAACTTAGTGTAATTATAGTTTGTATTAATGTTTCCAACATAAATACAATCTTTAAGACAACTCAATTTGAGCTGTATATCTTTATTAGAAAGATAAAAACAGGATATCTGAAACTCGAGTAAATTATTGATACATATTTTGTTTCATAAAACTTATCCGTAACTCTTGAAACTCAAATGCCAATATTTCAGTTAATTTTCAAGCTACAGACGACACATTTTGCATGGTTTCTAGTTTTTAAATGTACAAAAACATATATGTTTTCCACATTTTTTCCGAGGGGGTCGATTTCCCAAATTTCTGAAAATTGATCCACTTGACGTGGAATGATCCAAATAAAGTGTATATTTTATACAAAACTTTCTAGCCGTATACTTGACAACGAATCATCCTGCCTTCAAAGGATTTATTAAACAAAAGTTGTATGGAGTTGAATATACCAAAAATTTACATACCCGCAAATATTGCCGGTGCTTGGCAAAGTGCAACTTGAAAGAGCTTGATGATCACAAGTATTTACACTGGATCCTGAGTCGTTCACTGAAAAACATAAAATATATAAACCTAGATACACTATTTATATATTATACACTGTTGGGGCGGGATTTTAGGGCCCGTATTGAAATATTTTCCTAAAAAATATTTTGAAAAAAAATACTTAATTTTTCCACTTGTAATTAACCTTGATATTTAAATGCTGTATTTAACATATCCTTGGCTATGTAAAAAAAAATCTTAAGTTAGAGTGAATACATCATTCAGTGTTGTTTATCAATTCATAGAAATTCTTTCTGTGGATACTGTTTAAAATCCCAAATGCAAGGCTTTAAATGTAAGTTACGAGTACTAAATAAGGACGAAAGTTGCAAGATACGAATAAATATACAATAAGTTAAAATTGTGAAACATTGCTGTCACGCTTTTGGTCAGTTATCATCATATATTTGTAATACATACCAAGATAAGAACGTGTTACAAGCAATATTACTGAAAATCCACAGTGGAGAAGGGGGAGGGTGGTCTGTGTATCAGCGGCATACAAGTAAATATTAAGAGCAAACTTTTCAACGATTTTCGTTAAAGGTCAGGTGAAGACTATGAACAGTACAGGACCTAAAACCGATCCTTGGGGCACACCAAACACCATAGAGACCTTAACAGAGTTGATGAAACCAATCTTGACACATTATTGTCTGTTTTCTAGATATGTATAGTTTTGTATATATCATTAGTTATTTTGATCAAAGCCATGTAGGCAGAATGTAAGACGTTTGTTGGTCGATTCCGTGGTTTCGACAGTTGATCAGAAAATATATCTCTGTTAGTTGTGAAAGGCAGCCAGGGTTACTGACAGGCGGGTGGTTTTTCGACATAAATTCACGACCGAGGATTTGTTTCGTGAGAAGGGGTCGATTGGAGGCTTCGCTCATTTCTCGGGGAAACACTCCTCTTGTAGGAAACTATTAACAGTGCCAGAGAGAACTGGAAGAAGAAGGTGAATTGTGTCCTTAACAAGAGTGGTTGGTGCTGGATCCAACTCGCAAGACTTCAATTTGGTTTGCTGAATTATCCTCAGTAGAGAGAGAGAGAGAAATGGGGTTTAACGTCCACTAGACACAAACAAGGTCATTTCGGGACTAACATATGGTTTAATTTTATTTCAATAATTCGCTTGCGCGTAGGGGTCTTTAGCAGTGGGAGGAAACCGGAGGACCCGGAGAAAACCCACGAGGTTGGACAGGCGACCCTACTCCTTGTCACGTACAACCGGGGATTCGAAACCACGCCAGTCGACTCAATGATACAGCGCGCGCACGCTAACCATTCAGCCATCCAACCCCCCTATCCTCAGTAGAGGTTGGTTCGTATACTTATGGAAATTCAAGACATTGATAGAGTCATAGAAGCTTGAAACTCCATAATATCAGTCCTAAACTTTAGAATTTTGTCCTTAAATTAGTTGACAAACTTGACCTAATACAATAAGAGATATTATAATCTAATGTTACGTGTGCCATGACAAGGAAACTAGATTTACTCCACCATTTGTATGATTTTATAAAATGAGGTTTAACGGCACGTCAGCATCAACCGGGATATATTGCAACAAACATATGGTGATTTATTTGAGATAAATTAAATATACTCACCACATTGAGCTGATGTCAAAGCAGCGTTAATTGAACTTTCAACAGCCCCGTTAAAACAACCTGCATTATCTACACAGGTTTTATACGTTGCTAGTTGGCTATATAATAAAAAAAACCAAATAAAATATAGATTTGGTACAACACATTCTAGTCGTATTCTTGACAACGAATTTTCCTGCCTTCTAGGCGACGTTTTGCTCCTTGATCAGAGGATTTTTTAAACAAAAGTTGTATGGAGTTGAATATACCAAAAATTTACATACCCGCAAATATTGCCGGTGGTTGGCAAAGTGCAACTTAAAAGAGCTTGGGGGTCACATGTATTTACACTGGATCCTGAGCTGCCAACTGAAAAACATAAAATATAAGAGCTTGAGTGTAACAGGCATTTACACTGGATCCTGAGCCGTTCACTGAAAAACATAAAATACAAGCTATATAAGCCTAGATACGCGTCTTTATATATCTCACTAGGGGGAAACAGGATACTTAGCATGTGATGGGGATGGTGGAACCTTATTCAAGAAGATTGGTATTACCAGTTATATTGACCATATCAAACTAGAAGACGGCGTTGCTTTGTCTGTCAGGCCCCCCACCTTACACAAATTTAGAATGTACTCAACCAGCACCCAAATCCAATCCCTGACCTACTGGTAAGTCAGTTAGCATCTTATTCATTGCAAGATTTGTATTTGGAGATCTGCAATTAGGAATTTATTGTTCGAGATTTGGTTTTCGTTGTATGTCTATGATGAAATGTAAATGTAGATTATTTATTGATTTACTAAAATAAATTTTGTCTTTATATTAAAATCAAATTAAATTAAACAAAAATACATTTTACAAATCTGATATGACAAATGTCTAATTAGTAAAACACATAATGATTTTAAGATACAAATTTAATTTTAGTGTACAAATGTCGAAATACGACGACAACAACTGAAGAAATAAGATTTAAGGACTATGAATTAAAAACTAAGAATTAAGAGCGGTTTGGTCTTATATATATATTAATATGTCCCGTGGTGAATAAAACAGGGAGACGTAAACCCCCCATTTCATTAACATAATAAAGGTAGAGATAAGAAGAGGAACAAAGAGATTTGATGTGGGGGCTTAAACGACATAGTGGAATCTAGAACTGCCTCATGTTGTTGACTTCCGGAGTTGGATCAAGACTTTCTTGTCGAAATTTAAGAGATGGTATTGAAAATTTACCAAGATGTTGTTTTGTTCCAATTAACAGATACTCAGTTTGTTCAGGACTTAGTTTAAGAAAGTGTGGTGTCATCCATAACCTGATTTCTTCCAGACAGTTTTCAATATTACTTAAAGCTGAAGAAGTGGATTGTTGATTCAGGGAAACGTTTTCTGTACATCATCGGCATACACGTGAATATTAATACCAAAAGTTTCAAGTGAAGACAATGAACAGTAGATGACCTAAAACTGATCCTTGGGGCACACCATACATCATATAGGGACCTTCATAACAGATGTAATGTCATCAATCTTGTCTAATGGTTTGGATTGTTCGTACTTGGTTTTATTTTATTGTTGTCTGTTTTGTAGGTAGGCTTAGAGCCTGATTACAACAGCACCCCTAATAAAATAAATGGGGCGGGGCAGTAACTATACCATCAGGACATCAGAATAAAATAAAACCAAGTACGAACAATCCAAACCATTAGACAGAATTCGAAGTCCTAAAAAACGTTATAGGCAAAATAGTGTATTCAAGCAAAATAGTGTAATCCGCAAATGGACTGCTCCTCGTGTACAAAATACACGACAAACAGTGGTAACAGGTGTCCGGAAGAGTAAGCTTACCCTGCCTGGCGCCACACCCGCCATAGCTGCATCCAAACTATTAGGCGAAATGTCGGTAAAATAGCGTGATTGGCCAATGAAATATCGGTATGCAAAATGCACGCGATGAACTGTGTTAACGATGTAGTAGACATTATCAGGGAGATAGTAATAGTATACGTGTCAATTAAATATATCTAGAATAATAGCCGAGAGAGACACGATATATTTACCAATCAAATCAATATGACGGCCATAAAACTTTTTAATGGTTTTAATAAGTTTAGTGCGCAAGTATCCTTGTAGTTGAAGCTTAGATGACAAATACCTCGATCTACTTAAAAAATCAGAATAAAAGGAACAAGCTCTCGTGTAACGAATTAGCTGAGACACAAACACTCCATAAGCTGTTGCTATTGGAATGTTACTACTAATAAATGGAAAGTTAACAATCGGAAAGTCAAAGTCATCACGTTTATCGTACAATTTAACACTCAGTTTATGGCAATTGTCAAAATCGAGACGCAGATCCAAGTATAAAGCGTAATTGTCACTGTCAGTGGTGTTTTTAAATTTCGAGCTCATCAGGATATATGAATTCTACATAATCACTAAATTTAGGATTATTAAGTGATAAAACGTCATCGATATATCGATAAGTGAAATTAAAAAGTCTGACTGATCGTTTATTAGTTTTTACGAGCGTCTGTATGTAATCGGCTTCGTACAAATAGAGAAACAGATCAGCAAGCAAAGGTGCACAGTTGGTGCCCATGGGGATGCCAACCACTTGCTGATATATTTCCCCTCCAAATTCAACAAAGATGTTATCAATTAAAAAATCCAACATCTGAATTATCTTGATGGCCGTGAATTTGTTTTTGGAATCACTGTGATTCTTAACGAAATATGTGGAATTGTAATTTACAACTAAATATTGATATCTAGCAGTATCTGATTTAGACGAAAAGACACTGTGAATAATGTCTTTCAACCGGGCTTTTAATTTACTATGGGGAATTTTAGTGTACAAAGTAGAAAAGTCAAACGTTTGAACAGATGAGACTGAAGCAAGGGATCTAGATTGCAAACCATCAAGTAATTCTTTGGAATTTTTCAATATCCACATTTGATTTATACCACTACGAGAGTATATTTTGTCACAGTATAATGTCTTTTTCTTCCAACAGGGGTTGGAGAAGGTCTTCCACCTCGAGAGTGTCAAAGACAACCGATAAGTCCAAATATATTTTTGGTATATATCATTTGTTATTTTGATTCAAGGTGATATGAGAACGTTTGTAGACAGACTGTAAGACGTGTGTTGGGTTGTTCCAATCCATATCCTTTCACAGTTGATCTAGTACACATTTCTCTATCAATTTCAAGTTTAAAAGTATCAGCAAAATATATTTTTGGAATATATCATTAATTAGTTATTCTAATTAAAGTTGTCTCGGTGCTGTGAATAAGTATGTAGGCAGACTGCAAGACGTTTGTTTTTGACAGCTGATAAGTACACATTTCTCTGTTAGTTTTGATAGTTAGCTAAGTTTACTGATAAACCTGTTATTTTTCATAATATCACGATTGTGGTTTTGTTTCATGAGGAGGGGGTCGAATGAAGGGTTTCCACAGTTCTTGAGGAAACTCTCCCTCTTGTAGGGAACTATTAACACAGAGAACTAGAAGAAGAAGGCCGATGTTGTTTTTATTAAGAGTGGTTGGTGCTAGATCCAACTTTCAAGACTTCAAGATTATCCTCCGAGATTGGTTCGTATACGTGTGGACAAACTGGACCTAATACAACAAGAGATATTCTAATCTAATGCTACGTGGGCCAGCCCAAACAAACTAATACTTTTAATTACTGCCTATACCTGATCTAAATATACTGAATGAAGGAATATAATGAGGTTTAATGGCACGTCAGCACCCACCGGACTATATTGCAACAAACTAAACATACTCACCACATTGACCTGCTGTCAAAGCAGCATTATATGCACTTTCAACAAGCCTAAAACAACCTGCATTATCTACACATGTTTTGTACGTTCCTAGTGAGCTATAAAATCAAAAAGACAAAGATCAATTTAAATGTAGATTTGGTACAACACATTCTAGCCGTATACTTGACAATGAATTCCTAACCCTAACATAGTTCCCCTCGTAGTACTCTGTATGGACCAAGCACTTTCCTAGAACCATTCAGGATTCTGCCTTCTAGGAGAGGTTTGGCACCTTGCACTCGGTATAATTTGAAGAAGAGTTTTATGGAGTTATATGTACCAAAATAATTACATACCCACAAATATTGTTTTCACTAGGGTTTGGAAAAGTGCAACTTGAAAGATCTTGATAGTCACAAGTATTTACACTGGATCCTGAGTCGTTCACTGAAAAAAGTAAAATACAAGCTATATAAACCTAGATAAACGTCTTTATATATTACACACTGATGGGGGGGGGGGGGATTTTAGGGCCCGTATTCAAAGGTTTTCTTGAAGTTAGAAGAAAAAGAATTAATTAATTTTTCCACTTATAATTAACCAAGTGTCTTACCTTCAATTGGTATTCAAAGGCTGTAGTTTACAATACTTGGCTATGTAAAAACTTAAGTTTGTTGTTTATCAATTGACAGAAATTGTTTCGGTGCCTACAGTTTAGAATCCCAAATAACTAAATAAGAATGAACGATGCAAGATACGTTATTCTCTACCTGAATAAATACTACCTATTAAAACGCAATAAGTATACAATAAGTTAAAATTGTCAAACATTGCTGTCACGCTTTGGGTCAGTAATCATCATATATTTGTAATACATACCAAGATAAGAACGTGTTACAAACAATATTACTGAAAATCCACAATGGAGAGGAGGGGGGGGGGGTCGTTTTCTGTGTATCAGTGGAATACAAGTAAATATTAAGATCAAGCTTTTCAATGATTTTCGTTAAAGGTCAGGCGAAGACAATGAACAGTACAGGACCTAAAACCGATCCTTGGGGCACACCACACACCATACGGACCTTAACAGAGTTAACGTCACCAATCTTGACATATTATTGTCTGTTTTCTGGATATGCTCGGGACCATGTTAAACAGTGCCTCGACCCCTTTTTTGTCCTGCAGAGCTTGGAGAAGATCCCTGACATCGAGTTTCAAAGGCAGCCGATGGGCAAAATACATATTTGATCATCTATAGGTTTGTGTATATCCTTAGTTATACTGATTCAAGGTGCCACGCATATGTTTTTGGGCAGCAGGCCTGTGATTTTTTGACATAAATTCACGATCAAGATTTCTTGAGAAGGGGTCGATTGGGGGTTTCGTTCAGTTCTCGAGGAAACACCCCTCTTGTGGGAAACTACTAACAATGACAGAGAGAACTGGAAGAAGAAGGTAAATGTTGTCTTTAACAAGAGTGATTGGTGCTGGATCCAACTCGCAAGACTTCAATTTGGTTTGCTGGATTATCCTCAGTAGAGGTTGGTTCGTATACTTATGGAAATTCAAGACATTGATAGAGTCATAGAAGCTTGAAACTCCATAATATCAGTCCTAAACTTTAGAATTTTGTCCTTAAATTAGTGGACAAACTGGACCTAATACAAACAGAGATATTATAATCTAATGTTACGTGAGTCATTTGTAGGCTGTTATTTACCCCACCATTGGAATGATTTTATAAAACGGGCTATATTGTGACAAACTTATGGGGAATTATTGCGACAAGCTAAATATACTCACCACATTGAGCTGCTGTCAAAGCAGAGTTAATTGCACTTTCAACAAGCGTAAAACAACCTGCATTATCTACACATGTTTTATAAGTTGCTAGCGAACTATAAAATCAAAAAGAAAAAAAGACAAATAAAATGTAAATTTTGTACAACACATTCTAGCTGAATACTTGACAACGAATTTTCCTGCCTCTCCTTGATGAGAGGAAATGAAATGAAATGGGGTTTAACGTCGGAAAATCTGGATGAACTTTCTCGGCCAATGCAGGGATCGAAAACCCTTTTTAAACAAAAGTTGTATGGAGTTGAATATACCAAAAATTTACATACTCGCAAATATTGTTTCCGCTGGTGGTTGGCAAAATGCAACTCGAAAGAGCTTGTGGATCACACGTATTTACACTAGATCCTGAGCCGTTCACTGAAAAAATTAAAATACTATATAAACCTAGATACACATCTTTATACATTATACACTCTGTGTGTGTGGGAGAGGACAGGGTTGGTTTTAGGACCCGTATTGAAATTACTTCTCAAAGTTAGAAACAAATACTAAAGGCTGCGTTTGACACGATACACCACCAAAGATTGCTGAACAACTTTGGTGTTAGTGGACTAGTCCTTACATGGTTCCAGTCATACCTTGAAAACTGTACACGGACAGTTGTTATCAAAGGTTCCACATCCAAATCAACGGTTTTAAAGTATGGCGTGCCACAGGGTTGCGTTCTCGGCCCTTTATTGTTTACCACATACACAACATCTTTAGGAAATATCATTCGTAAATACGCCGACGACACTCAAACTTTATATAGCTTTTGAGCCTACTTCTGAACCATCTGAGATATGCAAACTTGATGCCTGTTTATCTGATATTCGTAAATGGATGGACTCAAATTTATTAAAACCCAACGATGACAAAACAGAAATAAAGAAAGTCGACAGCAGGCAGCAACTACTAAATTCTAAAACAGAAAACTATCAAATTGGCAATATCTCTATTACACCAACAGGTTCTGTAAAAAATCTTGGTGTTTATTTTGACTCTCATCTAGACATGAATAGACAAATTTCGGCCATGTGTAAAAGTATTAATTTTCAGATTTATAATATTGGAAAAATTAGGTCTTTCATTGATATTGATACGACTAAAATGCTGGTAAACAATATGGTTACATCACGACTTGACTACTGTAATTCACTTTTGTACAATCTACCTAAAAATAAAATCAAACGACTTCAGAAACTTCAAAATAAAGCAGCCTGGATCATAACTAAGACAAAACCAAATGAACATAGACACCAATTTTGAAAGATCTCCATTGGCTTCCAGTCCGTCAACGTATCAATTTTAAAATACTGTCTATTACGTATTCTGCAATAAATGATGATTCGTCACCTCAACACCAATAAACCTTACAGAACCCTTCGATCACAATCAGACAACCTCTTCTTTAAGCCTTTTTCAAAAACCAACTCCGGTGATAGATCTTACGCCGTAGGTGCTCCGAAGTTATGGAATTCAATATCAAACGAAACCAAAAGCGCCAATTCTATTAAAGGTTTTAAAAAGTATCTCAAAACCGAACTTTTTAATCAAATATACAACTGAATGAATACGGTTCTAGCTGTGTTTGTTTCAGACTTTTACCATGTGTACTAAATAATGTTCTCCGTTTTTTGTTTATGTCTTTTATTTTATGGATTAATGTGTTGTGATTGTTGTAAATTATATTAGTTGTATTTATGTAAAGCTCCCGAGAGCAGCTCGGTGAGTTGAATTGCTGGCGCTATATAAATCAATTATTATTATTATTATTATTATGTAAAAAAAAGTTAAGTAAGACTGAACACATCATTCAGTGTTGTTTATCAATTCATAGAAATTGTTTCGGTGCCTACAGTTTAGAATCCCAAATAACTAACTAAATAAGGACGAACGGTGCAAGATACGTTATTTTCTACCTGAATAAATACTACCTATTTTAACGCAATAAATATACAATAAATTAAAATTGTGAAACTTTGCTGTCGCGCTGTCAGTTATCATCATATATTTGTAATACATACCAAGATAAGAACGTGTTACAAACAATATTACTGTAAATCCACAGTGGAGAGGGGGAGGGTGGTCTGTGTATCAGTGGCATACAAGTGAATATTAAGAGTAAACTTTTCAATGATTTTCGTTAAAGGTCAGCTGAAGACAATGAACAGTACCGATCCTTGGACACACCATAGGGACCTTAACAGGTTTGACGTCAGCAATCTTAACATATTATTGTCTGTTTTCTAGATGTGCTCGGGACAAGGTTAAACATTGCCCCGACCCCTATTTTGCCCTGCAGAGCTTGGAGAAGGTCCCTGACATCGAGTTTCAAAGGTAGTCGATAAGTCCAAAAGTATCAGCAAAATACATATTTGATCATCTATAGTTTGGTATATATCATTAGTTACTTTGATTAAAGCTGTCAAGGTGCCATGAATTCGTTTGTAGGCAGAATGTAAGACGTTTGTTGGTCGATTCCCTGGTTTCGAAAGTTGGTCAGAAAACATGAGGTTTAATGGCACGTCAGCATCAACCGGACTATATTGCAACAAACATATGGTTATTTATTCGAGATAAAGTAAATATACTCACCACATTGAGCTGATGTCAAAACAGTATTAATTGAACTTTCAACAGCCCCGCTAAAACAACCTGCATTATCTACACAGGTTTTATAAGCTGCTAGTTGGCTATAAAATCAAAACGACAAAGACAAATAAAATGTAGATTCTGTTCAACACATTCTAGCCATATACTGGACAACGAATTTCTAACCCTAATATACTTCCTCTAACCCTAATAATAGTTCCCTACGTATCACACTGTATGGACCATACCCATCTTCCTTGGACGGTATACCTAGATGTAAAATGACTGAACCTTTCATTGGTTTGTGTATTTTCAAATTTAAATTGTATACGAAACATTTGGGGTTTCTTCAAATTGTCAGTTTTTGATTATGACATCTTTGTACAGTGCACTTTTGGAAGGGAAAGTGGTGGAAATAAATGGAAATATCTTGTAGGAAAATATAAACAAAAGTACCGAATATTATCTAGATGTGCACTTTCCTAGAAACATTCAGGGTCTGTCTAATTTGTTTTAAAATCATCGTGCCTTCCAGTAGACGTTTTGTACCTTACTCTAAACATAATTTAAACAAAGAGTTTTATGGAGTCAAATATACCCAAAAAATTACATACCCGCAAAAATCGTTTCCGCTGGCGGTTGGCAAAGTGCATCTTAAAACAGCTTGATTGTAACAATCATTTACAGTGGACCCTGAGCTGTTCACTAAAAAACATAAAATACAAGACAAGAACATGTTGCAAAGAATACTACTGTCAATCCATAGTAGGGGACGTTTGTCTGTGTATCATGGGCTTAAAAGTGACCAAAAGTGAAGACAATGAACAGTAGATGACCTAAAACCGATCCTTGGGGCACACCACACATCATAGGGACATCAATCTTGTCACATTGTTTGTTTTCTAGGTATGCTTAGAGCCAGATTAAAACATTAAATCGAACCCCCTATGGCCGCCGTTTCATCTTCCAGGATGACAACGCAAGATGTCACAGGGCCAGGATCGTTACAGGTTACCTCCAACAACAGAACATCACCACATTACCTTGACCAGCACTGAGTCCCGACCTCTCCCCCATCGAGCATGTCTGGGACATGCTTGGACAGAGGTTACGTCAACGTTAACAACGTCCTGCCAATGTCCAAGAACTTGCTGCTGCGTTGCAACAGGAATGGGACAATCTGGACCAAAATGACCTTAGACGTCTCATTAGGAGTATGCCACGTCGGATCAATGCTTGTTTGGCAAACAGAGGAGGATTTACCCGTTACTGACTTGGTTGTGATGCTGTGGTAACTTTGCTGTTTGACCCCGGGTATTATTTTACCCTTATAATGGTCAGACTGTGCCTTACTTAGTCTAACGATCATTTGGAATAAATCGATGAATGTGAACTTCATTTCATTTTGTCATTTGTTTCTTCGTCAGTTTCATTAGGTGACTTTAATAACACTTAAAAATCAAATATCCCCTACTTTTTTTGAATAGTATATCATAGCTGCTTACATTTGGATACAAGCATAGTAAAGATTACAATAATAAAGTCATTGTCAAACACTAGCCAGGCAGACTCGGCGAGTCTGCTGATAGAACCTGTTACATCTTTCCCCTTGTGGAATCTGTCTGTTGTCTGACAATCGCCCACCAATATGATAGTTTTGTACCTTTGGGTTTGTTCCAATCCATGTGTTTTTGCAGTTGACCAAATACACATTTCTCTATCAGTTTTGATAGGTAGCCGGTTACTGACAGGCCTGTAAATTTTCGACATAAATTCCCGATCAAGGTTTGGTTTCTTGAGAAGAGGTCGATTGGGTGGCTTTGTCCAGTTCTCGAGGACCCCCCCCCCCTCTTGTAGGACACTATTAACAATGCCAGAAAGAACTGGAAGAACAGGACCAATTTTGTCTTTACAAAAGTGGTTGGTGCTTGATCCGACTCGTAAAACTTCGATTTGGTTTGTTGGATTATCCTCAGTAGTGGTTGGTTCGTATACGTATGAGGTTTGAATGATTATATAAAATAAGGTTTAATGGCACGTCAGCACAAACCGGACTATATTGAGACAGGTTAAATATACTCACCACATTGACTTGATGTCAAAACAGTATTAATTGAACTTTCAACAGCACCGTTAAAACAACCTGCATTATCTACACAGGTTTTATAAGTTGCTAGTTGGCTATAAAATCAAAAGGACAAATGGGTCGTTCCATGTCAAGTTGGCCAGGGGTTGGAAATCGACCCCCTTGAAAAAAATCCTGGAAAAATTTGTGACCTGTAGCTTAAACATTGACTGAGATACGGGCATTTGAGATTCATGAGTTACCGATAAGTTTTCGAAAAAAAATATGTATCAATAATTTACTCGAGTTTCAGATATCTTGATTTTTACCTTTCTAGTGAAGATATACAGCTTCAATTGAGTTGTCTTAAAGAACTGTAAGAGAGGAATGGGATTTAACGTCCACTCGACACAAACTAGGTCATTTCGGGACTAACATATGGTTTTAATTTTATTTCAATAATTCACTTGCGCGTAGGGGTCTTTAGCAGTGGGGGGAAACCGGAGGACCCGGAGAAAAACCCACGAGCTTGGACAGGCGACCCTACTGCTTGTCACGTACAACCGAGGATTCGAGCCTATCCAGAGATTGTCGGTAGTATTACATAAGAAACACATGAAAACGCATCAGTTTTCACTAGATTCCCAGAAAATTGGTCTCGAATATGGTTTCAGAAACAAATTTTCGAAAATTGCATCATATTTCGGAGCCGACAGAAACTTAGTGTAGTTATAGTTTGAAATAAAATCTCCAAGACAACTCAATTTGAGCTGTATATCTTTATTAGAAAGATAAAAACAGGATATCTGAAACTCGAGTAAATTATTGATACATATTTTGTTTCATAAAACTTATCCGTAACTCTTGAAACTCAAATGCCAATATTTCAGTTAATTTTCAAGCTACAGACCACACATTTTGCATGGTTTCTAGTTTTTAAATGTACAATAACATATATATTTTCCACATTTTTTCCGAGGGAGTCGATTTCCCAAATTTCTGAAAATTGATCCACTTGACGTGGAATGACCCAAATAAAATGTAAATTTTATACAAAACTTTCTAGCCGTATACATGACAACGAATCATCCTGCCTTCAAAGGATTTATTAAACAAAAGTTGTATGGAGTTGAATATACCAAAAATTTACATACCCGCAAATATTGCCGGTGGTTGGCAAAGTGCAACTTGAAAGAGCTTGATGATCACAAGTATTTACACTGGATCCTGAGCCGTTCACTGAAAAACATAAAATACAAGCAGCTATATAAACCTGGATACACTATTTATATATTATACACTGTTGGGGGTGGAGGGTCATTTTAGGACCGAATTGAAATATTTTCCTAAAGTTTGAAAAAAAAAATCTTAACTTTTCCACTTATAATCCTTGATATTTAAAGGCTGTATTTTACATATCTTTGGCTATGTAAAAAAAATCATTCAGTTTTGTTCATCAATTCATAGAAATTCCTTCAGTGTATACTGTTTAAAATCCCAAATGCAAGGCTTTAAATGTAAGTTACGAGTACTAAATAAGGACAAACGATGCAATATACGAATAAATACTACCTATTAAAACGCAATAAGTATACAATAAATTAAAATTGTGAAACATTGCTGTCACGCTTTTGGTCAGTAAACATCATATATTTGTAATACATACCAAGATAAGAACGTGTTATAAACAATATTACTTTAAATCCACAATGGAGAAGGGGGAGGGTGGTCTGTGTATCAGCGGCATACAAGTGAATATTAAGAGTAAACTTTTCAATCGTTTAAGGTCAGCTGAAGACAATTAACAGTACAGGACCTAAAACCGATCCTTGGGGCACACCACACATCATACGGACCTTAACAGATTTGACGTCACCAATCTTTGCACATTATTGTCTGTTTTTTAGATATGCTCTGGACCAGGTTAAACAGTGCCTCGACATCTATATTGTCTTGCAGATGCAGAACTTAGTGAAGGTTCCTGACACCGAGTTTCAAAGGCAGTCGATAAGTCCAAAATTATGAGCAAAATACATATTTGATCATCTATAGTTTGGTATATATCATTAGTTATTTTGATTAAAGCTGTCAAGGTGCCATGAATACGTTTGTAGGCAGAATGTAAGACGTTTGTTGGTCGATTCCGTGGTTTCGACAGTTGATCAGAAAACATGTCTCTGTTAGTTGTGAAAGGCAGCCAGGGTTACTGACAGGCGGGTGGTTTTTCGACATAAATTCACGACCGAGGATTTGTTTCTTGAGAAGGGGTCGATTTAAGGCTTCGCTTATTTCTCGGGGAAACACTCCTCTTGTAGGAAACTATTAACAGTTTGGTATATATCATTAGTTATTTTTATTAAAGCCGTCAAGGCGCCATGAATTCGTTTGCAGGCAGACTGTAAGACGTTTGTTGGTCGATTCCCTGGTTTCGACAGTTGATCAGAAAACATGTCTCTGTTAGTTGTGAAAGGCAGTCAAGGTTACTGACAGGCAGGCGATTTTTCGACATAAATTCACGATCGCGGTTTTGTTTCTTGAGAAGGGGTCGTCGATTGGGGGCTTTGTCCAGTTCTCGAGGAAACACCCCTCTTGTAGGAAACTATTAACAATGCCAGAGAGAATTGGGAGAACAGGACCAATTTTGTCTGGATCCAACTCGTAAAACGTGAATTTGGTTTGTTGGATTATCGTCAGTAGAGATTGGTTCGTATACTATGGAAATTCATGAGGTTTAAATGATTATATAAAATAAGGTTTAATGGCACGCCAGCACCAACCGGGTTATATTGTGACAAACATATTGATACAGGTTAAATATACTCACCACATTGAGCTGATGTCAAAACAGTATTAACTGAACTTTCAACAGCCCCGCTAAAACAACCTGCATTATCTGCACATGTTTTATACGTTGCTAGTTGGCTATAAAATAAAAATAACAAATGGGTAATTCCATGTCAAGTTGGCCAGGGGTTGGAAATCGACCCCCTTGAAAAAAAAAACCCTGGACAAAATCTAGAAACTGTGCAAAATTTGTGGCCTGTAGCTTAAACATTGACTGAGATACGGGCATTTGAGTTTAATGAGTTTTTATCTTGTTTTTTACCTTTCTAGTGAAGATGTACAGCTCCATTGAGTTGTCTTAAAGAACTGTTTGTGTAGATTACGAATCTGCAGTCAGATTCCAGGTGAGTGGTAGGGTTCCTTCGCATGCTACTTGGCCATAAAACCCGAAAAACATTTAGAGTAATTGTATGTTTCTTGGATTGTGTAGTGCTCCAGGAATTACAAAGTAATAGATATAGACCCAACTTTTGGCCTATCCAGAGAGAGAGAGAGAAATGGGGTTTAACGTCCACTCGACACAAACTAGGTCATTTCGGGACTAACATATGGTTTTGATTTTATTTCAATAATTCGCTTGCGCGTAGGGGTCTTTAGCAGTGGGAGGAAACCGGAGGACCCGGAGAAAAACCCACGAGCTTGGACAGGCGACCCTACTGCTTGTCACGTACAACCGGGGATTCGAGCCTATCCAGAGATTGTCGGTAGTATATTACATAAGAAACACGTGAAAACGCATTAGTTTTCACTAGATTCCCAGAAAATTGGCCTCGAATATGGTTTCAGAAACAAATTTTCGAAAATTGCATCATATTTCGGAGCCGACAGAAACTTAGTGTAGTTATAGTTTGAAATAAAATCTCCAAGACAACTCAATCTTTATTAGAAAGATAAAAACAGGATATTTGAAACTCGAGTAAATTATTGATACATATTTTGTTTCATGAAACTTATCCGTAACTCTTGAAACTCAAATGCCAATATTTCAGTTAATTTTCAAGCTACAGACCACACATTTTGCATGGTTTCTAGTTTTTAAATGTACAATAACATATATGTTTTTCACATTGTTCTCGAGGGTTTCGATTTCCCAAATTTCTGAAAATTGATCCACTTGATGTGGAATAATTTCTGAAAATTGATCCACTTGATGTGGAATGACCCAAATAAAATGTAAATTTTATACAAAACTTCCTAGCCGTATACTTGACAACGAATCATCCTGCCTTCAAAAGATTTATTAAACAAAACTTGTATGGAGTTGAATATACCAAAAATTTACATACCCGCAAATATTGCCGGTGGTTGGCAAAGTGCAACTTGAAAGAGCTTGATGATCACAAGTATTTACACTGGATCCTGAGCCGTTCACTGAAAAACATAAAATACAAGCAGCTATATAAACCTGGATACACTATTTATATATTATACACTGTTGGGGGTGGAGGGTGATTTTAGGACCGTATTGAAATATTTTCCTAAAGTTAGAAAAAAAATTACTTAATTTTTCCACTTGTAATTAACCTTGATATTTAAAGGCTGTATTTAACATATCCTTGGCTATGTAAAAAAAATCTTAAGTTAGAGTGAATACATCATTCAGTGTTGTTCATCAATTCATAGAAATTCTTTCTGTGGATACTGTTTAAAATCCCAAATGCAAGGCTTTAAATGTAAGTTACGAGTACTAAATAAGGACGAACGATGCAAGATAGAAATTCTTTCTGGGCATACAAGGCTTTAACTATTAACTAAATAAGGACGAACGATGCAAGATACGTTATTTTCTACCTGACTAAATACTACCTATTAAAACGCAATAAGTATACAATAAATTAAAATTGTGAAACATCGCTGTCACGCTTTTGGTCAGTAATCATCATATATTTGTAATACATACCAAGATAAGAACGTGTTACAAACAATATTACTGCAAATCCACAGTGGATTTAAGACCAAACTTTTAAATGATTTTCGTTAAAGGTCAGGTTAAGATAATGAACAGTACAGGACCTAAAACAGATCCTTGGGGCACACCACACACCATACGGACCTTAACAGATTTGACGTCACCAATCTTGACACATTATTTGCTGTTTTCTAGATTTGCTCGGGGGTAGGTTAAACAGTGCCTCGACCTCTATTTTGTCTTGCAGATGCAGAACTTGGAGCAGGTTCCTGACACCGAGTTTCAAAGGCTGTCGATAAGTCCTAAAGTATGAGCAAAATACATATTTGATCATCTATAGTTTGGTATATATCATTAGTTATTTTGATTAAAGCTGTCAAGGTGCCATGAATACGTTTGTAGGCAGAATGTAAGACGTTTGTTGGTCGATTCCGTGGTTTCGACAGTTGATCAGAAAACATGTCTCTGTTAGTTGTGAAAGGCAGCCAGGGTTACTGACAGGCGGGTGGTTTTTCGACATAAATTCACGACCGAGGATTTGTTTCTTGAGAAGGGGTCGATTTAAGGCTTCGCTTATTTCTCGGGGAAACACTCCTCTTGTAGGAAACTATTAACAGTGCCAGAGAGAACTGGAAGAAGAAGGTGAATTGTGTCCTTAACAAGAGTGGTTGGTGCTGGATCCAACTCGCAAGACTTCAATTTGGTTTGCTGGATTATTCTCAGTAGAGGTTGGTTCGTATACTTATGGAAATTCAAGACATTGATAGAGTCATAGAAGCTTGAAACTCCATAATATCATTCCTAAACTTTAGAATTTTGTCCTTAAATTAGTGGACAAACTGGACCTAATACAAACAGAGATATTATAATCTAATGTTACGTGAGTCATTTGTAGGCTGTTATTTACCCCACCATTGGAATGATTTTATAAAACGGGCTATATTGTGATAATCTTATGGGGAATTATTGCGACAAGCTAAATATACTCACCACATTGAGCTGATGTCAAAGCAGAATTAATTGAACTTTCTAAAGCCCCGTTAAAACAACCTGCATTATCTACACATGTTTTATACGTTGCTAGTGAGCTATAAAATCAAAAAGACAAATGAAAAATAAATTTTGTACAACACATTCTAGTCGTATACTTGGCAACGAATTTTCCTGCCTTCTAGGCGACGTTTTGCTCCTTAATCAAAGGATTTTTTAAACAAAAGTTGTATGGAGTTGAATATACCAAAAATTTACATACCCACAAACATTGTTTCCACCGGAGGTTGCCAAAGTGCAACTTAAAAGAGCTGATGTGTCGCAAGCATTTACACTGGATCCTGAGCCGTTCACTGAAAAACATAAAATACAAGCTATATAAGCCTAGATACGCGTCTTTATATATCTCATTAGGGGGAAACAGGATACTTAGCATGTGATGGGGATAGCGGAGCCTCATCCAAGAGGATTGGGTGTCAATGGTGATTTGTGGGGCATTAAAACTTATAATGTCCCTTCCAAACTAAAAGACGGTGTTCCTTTACCAGGCCCTTCACCTTACACAACTTTAAAATGTACTCAATCAGCACCCAAATTTCCTGGTTAGTCAGTCAGCGTCTTATTCATTGCGCTACAACGGTTTGATAAAACTTATTGTATGCCAGGTTGATTTCCGCTTATGTTGTCATAATGTTCCGGTTGGATGAATTTCTAGAAATGTTTTTGGAGAAATGTTTTGCAAGAAATGTTTTTGGAGAAATGTTTTGCAAGATTTGTTCAAGATTTGTTTTTCGTTGTATGTCTATGATGAAATGTAAATGTAGATTATTTTTTGATTTACTAAAATAAATTTTGTCTTTATATTAAAATAAAATTAAACTTAAACAAAAATACAGTTTACAAATCTAATATGACAAATGTCTAATTTGTAAAACACATAATGATATTAAGATACAAAGTTAATTTTAGTGTACAAATGTCGAAATACGACAACAAATGAAGAAATAAGATTTAAGGACTATGAATTAAGAACTAAGAATTAAGAGCGGTTTGGTCTTACATATATATTAATATGTCCCGTCGTGAATAAACCAGGGTGACGTTAGAGTTAGACCCCAGTTCATTAATATAATAAAGATGGAAATAAGAAGATGGACAAACAGATTTGATGTGGGGGCTTAAACGACATAGTGGAATCTAGAACTGCCCCATGTTGTTGACTTCCGGAGTTGGATCAAGACTTTCTTGTCGAAATTTAAGAGATGGTATTGGAAATTTACCAAGATGTTGTTTTGTTCCAATTACCAGATACTCAGTTTGTTCAGGATTTATTTTCAGAAAGGGTGGTGTCATCCATAACCTGATTTCTTCCAGACAGTTTTCAATATTACTTAAAGTTGAAGTAGTGGATTGTCGATTCAGGGAAGCGTTTTCTGTACATCATCGGCATACAAGTAAATATTAAGACCAAAAGTTTCAACGATTTTCGTTAATAGTCAAGTGAAGACAATGAACAGTAGATGACCTAAAACTGATCTTTGGGGCACACCACACATCATAGGGACCTTCTTAACAGATTTGACGTCATCAATCTTGACACATTGTTGTCTGTTTTCTATGTATGTTTAGAGCCAGATTAAAGCAGTAACTCGAATGCCTATTTTTTCATTTTCCGGCGTGGTTTCCCCTTGTCAGTGATGCAGGATGGAGGGCCTGACAAAGACAGCTGTCTAGTCGTTCGGATGGGACAAAAAACCGAGGTCCCGTGTACAAATTGGCGTTCACGTAAAAATCCCTTGGCAGTTGGAATTCGATATAAGAGTAGGACATAGCGCCGCTGCCCGGGCAAAATGTCCCTCGTAGCACACTGTATGGCGTATGTTTGTCTTCATTAGCCCAGTTTAGGAGCAAAACAGTAGGACGTTAATCCCCATTTCATTTCATTTCCGCCTATTTTTTCCTACAGAGGTTGGAGAAGGTCTTCCATATCGAAAGTGTCAAAGACAGTCGATAATTAAGTCCAAAAGTATCAGCAAAATATAATTTTGGTATATATCAAATGTTATTTTGATTAAAGCTGTCTCGGTGCTGTGAATAAGTTTGTAGGAAGACTGTAAGACGTTTGTTTTTGACAGCTGATCAGTACACATTTCTCTGTTAGTTTTGATAGTTAGCTAAGTTTACTGATAAACCTGTAGTTTTTCATAATATCACGATTGTGGTTTTGTTTCATGAGCAGGGGGTCGAATGAAGGGTTTCCACAGTTCTTGAGGAAACTCTCCCTCTTGTAGGGAACTATTAACACAGAGAACTAGAAGAAGAAGGCCGATGTTGTCTTTATCAAGAGTGTTTTTTGCTGGATCCAGCTTTCAAGACTTCAAGATTACCCTTAGTAGAGATTGGTTGGTATACGTATGGAAATAAATTAGTGGACAAACTTGACCTAATACAACAAGAGATGTTCTAATCTAATGTTAAGTGAGCCATGACAAGGAAACTAGATTTACTCCACCATTTGAATGATTTTATAAAATGAGGTTTAACGGCACGTCAGCATCAACCGGGCCATATTGTAACAAACATATGGTGATTTTTTCGAGATAAACTAAATATACTCACCACATTGACCAGCTGTCAAAGCAGAATTAATTGAACTTTCAACAGCCCCGTTAAAACAACCTGCATTATCTACACATGTTTTATACGTTGCTAGTGAGCTATAAAATTAAAAAGACAAATAAAATATAGATTTGGTACAACACATTCTAGCCATTCTCCCAAATTCTTAAACCTAACATAGTTCCCCTCGTAGTACACTGCAGGGACCATGCACTTTCCTAGAACCATTCAGGATCTGTCTAATTTGTTTTAAAATCACCCTGTCTTCTAGGAGATCTTTTGTACCTTCTCCTAAGCATAATTTAAACAAGAGTTTTATGGAGTTAAATATACAAAAAATTACATACCCGCAAAAATCATTTTCGCTGGGGGTTGGCAAAGTGCAAAGTAAAAAAGCTGTATTGTCACAAGTATCTACACTGGATCCTGAGTCGTTCACTGAAAAAAGTAAAATACAAGCTGAATAAACCTAGATACACGTCTTTATACATTAAACACTGTGTGTGGGTGGGGGGGGGGGAAAGGGGGGCAGGGTTGATTTTAGGACCCGTGTTGAAATGTTTTCTTAAAGTTAGAAAACAATACTTAATTTTTCCACTTATAATTAACCAAGTGTCTTACCTTAAATTAGCATTTGAAAGGCGGTATTTTACATATCCTTGGCTGTGTAAAACAAAGTTAAGTTAGACTGAACACATCATTCAGTGTTGTTTATCAATTCATAGAAATTCGTTCGGTGTATACTGTTTAAAATCCCAAATACCAGGCTTTAAAGGAGCTAAATCACTAATATTTTGGACCTAGAAATAGGCACAAATGAGTCGCAACACATATATACTATTCAAAAAAAGTAGGGGATATTTGATTTTGGGGGCATAATACTAAAATATGCAAATGACTACGAAAAAAGTCACTATAGAACCTAACAGAAGAAACATTTCCAGTTACATGTGACGCCCAAACGCACCAATAGCTACCGCATGGAATGCAGGTGATGCTTGGGATCATCATGGGGGTCCAACCCAAGATTTGCACGACTCTGACTTTGAATGTTACAGTCATTGTGGCATTGAATTCCAGGGTGGAAACATCAGTTTAATTGTTTTAGTGACCAGAAAACAAATTTTGATATGCGTCGGCTTACCCAAAATGAAAGGTTACGTGCCCTTGGCATGCTACAGATCGGCACAACACAGGCGGTTGTGGCGCGGACGATGAATGTTTCTCAGTCTGTCATAAGCAGGCTATGGTCCAGATACCGTGATACACAATCTGTACAGGACAGACCAAGCTCAGGTCGACCAAGGGCGACAACTCAAGCCCAGGATCGATTAATCCGTACCTAGGCCTTGAGAAATCGTGTCATCACAGCAAATCAGATCCGCGCTCGTCTTCAAACAGACACTGGTGTGAGAGTGAGTGGCCAGACGATTCGGAATCGACTGCATAGGGGTCACCTTCGCGCCCGACGTCCTCGCGTGATCCCTTGTTTGAGAGATCATCACATTCAGGCAAGACGTCGTTGGTGTAGGGATCGTCAACACTGGGATAATCGACGCTGGAGCAATGTGATGTTTTCAGATGAGTCAAGGTTCACTGTTGATTTTTTGGACAGACGTAGGAGGGTGTGGCGTCGTCGAAACGAGCGCTTCCAAGACGTTAACGTCATCAGACATGATCGATTTGGGGGTGGTTCTGTTATGGTGTGGGGAGGCATCACTGTTGCTGGAAGAACGGCTTTACATGTTGTTGCAGGGCGTGTTACAGGCCAGTACTACCGGGACAACATCTTGACAGTCCATGTTGTGCCGTTCGCACGACGTCATGGCCGCCGTTTCATCTTCCAGGATGACAACGCAAGATGTCACAGGGCCAGGATCGTTACAGGTTACCTCCAACAACAGAACATCACCACATTACCTTGACCAGCACTGAGTCCCGACCTCTCCCCCATCGAGCATGTCTGGGACGTCAACGTCAACAACGTCCTGCCAATGTCCAAGAACTTGCTGCTGCGTTGCAACAGGAATGGGACAATCTGGACCAAAATGACCTTAGACGTCTCATTAGGAGTATGCCACGTCGGATCAATGCTTGTTTGGCAAACAGAGGAGGATTTACCCGTTACTAACTTGGTTGTGATGCTGTGGTAACTTTGCTGTTTGACCCCGGGTATCATTTTACCCTTATAATGGTCAGTCTGTGCCTTACTTAGTCTAACGATCATTTGGAATAAATCGATGAATGTGAACTTCATTTCATTTTGTCATTTGTTTCTTCGTCAGTTTCATTAGGTGACTTTAATAACACTTAAAAATCAAATATCCCCTACTTTTTTTGAATAGTATATAATAATGTAATATGAATTTATATAAACTGTTTTACATTCAATCGTGTCCGTTTTACTGTGAATTGTCATCAGTTATCTTCGGCGAAATACGCCAGACGTCTCAATCGCAAGTCAGTTTCTAGCGTATGGTTATTCCAGTCAACACCGATATTATTTATTGCGCATGCTCTCCAAATAAGAATATGATATCACCGTTTGACATGACTCGTGGAATATGTCTAGCCTCATTCTTTGAGCACCTTGTTACAAATGGCGCTAAAACGCATTATGGTACACGATTCGTGTACCAATGGTAAAATGTTTATTTTATCTTAAATATTGGATATCAGAAGACCATCTTTTCCAGGTAAGATCACAACACCAATGCTGATTTAAATTCCAAAAAAGCGTGTTTTCAATATCGAAGATTTTGGATGATATTGAGTTACGGACATAGCTACTTTAACATAAGTTACGAGTACTAAATAAGGACGAACGGTGCAAGATACGTTATTTTCTACCTGGATAAAAACTACCGATTAAAAAGCAATAAATTTGTAATACATACCAAGATAAGAAGGTGTTACATGGGTGGAGAGGTGTGTTGTGGGGGTGGGGGTCTGAGTATCAGTGGCATACAAGTAAATATTAAGAGAAAACTTTTCAATGATTATCGTTAAAGGTCAGGTGAAGACAATGAACAGTACAGGACCTAAAACCGATCCTTGGGACACACCACACACCATAAGGACCTTAACAGAGTTGATGAAACCAATCTTGACACATTATTGTCTGTTTTCTAGATATGCTCGGGGCAAGGTTAAACATTGCCCCGACCCCTATTTTGCCCTGCAGAACTTGGAGAAAGTCCCTGACACCGAGTTTCAAAGACAGCCAATAAGTCCAAAAGTATGAGCAAAATACATATTTGATCATGTATAGTTTGGTATATATCATTAGTTATTTTGATTAAAACTGTCAAGAAGCCATGAATTCGTTTGTAGGCAGACTGTAAGACGTTTGTTGGTCGATTCCCTGGTTTCGACAGTTGACCAGAAAACATATATCTGTTAGTTTTGATAGGTAGCCAAGGTTACTGACAGGAAGGTGATTTTTCGACATAAATTCACGATCGAGGTTTTGCTTCTTGGGAATGGGTTGATTGGGGGCTTCGCTCATTTCTCGAGGAAGCACTCCTCTTGTAGGGAACTATTAACCATGCCAGAGAGAACTGGAAGAAGAAGATGCACGTTGTCTTTAACAAGAGATATTATAATCTAATGTTACGTGAGCCAGGACAAATCAACTAGTACTGTTATTTACTCCACCCTTCTACCTAAACTGGATCTAAATATACTGAATGAAGGAATAAAATGAGGTTTAATGGCCCGTCAGCATCAACCGGGATATATTATGACAAACATATGGTTATTTATTCGAGATAAATTAAATATACTCACCACATTGACCTGCTGTCAAGGCAGTATTATATGAACTTTCAACAGGCCCGCTAAAACAACCTGCATTATCTACACAGGTTTTATACGTTGCTAGGGAACTATAAAATCAAAAAGACAAAGACAAATAAAATTTTGTACAACACATTCTAGCCATATACTTATAGAACCGATCTGACCCCCCCCCCCCCATTTGTATACATGTGGAGGTCGGGAATGGGGCAAGGTTAGGTTTATATACCGTTCAATGTCCTCTTACCCCGCCCTATGGGATCTAGACAACCTCCATTAATGGACAATATTGTCAGATATCCTCTTACAGCCTCACATAACAACTTTTGGTATTCAAAGGAATTATTAGTGAACAGAAATTCGCCTGTGTATCTGTTATCGATCACTCTTCACTTCAGTCAGTTATATAGAGGAATAACTCTTGTTTTCCTTTTGCGTTCGTCACTTCCCTTTCTTGAACGCTTCATAACAATTTTTGGTCTTCGAAGGAATTATTAGTGAGCAGAAATTCGCCCGTTAATCTGTTTTCACTCTTCACTTCAGTCAGTTATAGAGAGGGATAACTTGGGTTTTCCTTTTGCGTTCGTCACTTCCGATTGTTGAAACCGTCATTACGCATCTATCGTAGTAATGACCTCTGTGATAAAATTATATTTGGAACGTGTTTAACAAGTTCTATCACAATAATGTGATAATGACTGACACCAATATTGTCCATTAAACCATTTTGTGTAAGTACGTGCACCACAAAACCAACATCCCTAAAACAGTTTGCTTAAATAATTATATATTTATTGGGTAGTAAAAAATGTCCAGTGAGTAAGAGGCTGTTTCGCCAACCAGAAGTTTCACACGCTGACTCGGTGAGTAAGACGCTGCTGGTTCGCTAACCAAGAGATCCGGGCTTCAATGCCGGTGTTTCCCGAGAAAGCTCCCGAGATGTTCCAGGTAGATTTCACCTTGTCAGTGGTGCAGGGCCTGGCATGGAACAGTGTCTTGTGGATCGGGTGGTACAAAAAGCCGAGGCCCCGTATTGGCGGACTTGTAAACCCTTGACAACGAACCACGAACCCCTAACCTCAACATTTGAGGTATCTTCGACATGTCAGTTTTTGATAATCAGATCTAGATTTGTGTATAGCAAACTGCTGCCGGAGAATTAATGGAAATAAATGGAAATATCTAGAAGGAAATATAAACAAAATAACTGAACATAATCTAACTGAACACTTTCCCAGAACCATCCAGGATTTGCCTAATTTGTTTTAAAATCATCCCGCCTTCTAGGAGATGTTTTACACCTTACTCTAAGCATAATTTAAACAAGAGCTGAATGGAATTGAATATACCAAAAATTTACATACCCGCAAACATTGTTTCCACCGGAGGTTGGCAAAGTGCAACTTGTAAGAGCTAATGCGTCGCAAGCATTTACACTGGATCCTGAGCTTTTCACTGAAAAACATAAAATACAAGCAGCTATATAAACCTAGATAAACGTATTTATATATTATACACTGTGGGGGGGGGGGGGGTTAGGGTCCGTATTGATTCAAGAACACATTGTGTGTGTGTGTGTGGGGGGGGGGGGGTGATTTTAGGGCCCGTATTGATTCAAGAACATGGAGTGTCAATGGGACCCAAATATTACATTTAATTTCATGGTTAGTATCGACGTTCTGATTTCTGGGGGTTGTATTTTATTCCAACACTATCGTCGATAGCTCATCGGTAGTGTCGATGTTCTGATTTCTGGGGATGGTATCTTATTCCAACACTAACGGCGATAACTCGGAATAAATAGTTAAACTTCTAACTTTTATAGACGGATGTCCAAAAACTGGCTAACGGTCACAATAACGAGATAGGTATCGCTAGGGCGAGCCGGTCACCAGTGGAATATAGAACATACAAGGATTAAAATAATTATATAATATTATTTGATAAGAAATGTTAAATTGTACATAAGAAACAGGTGTTTAAATACAGAAGATGATATCGACATAGCAAAAACCTTAGTTACTACACCTGCCTAAAGAAAGACCTGCAATAGGCAGATTTACCTCTTGCATAATGAACGTTTAACTAAAATTATATAATAAAATAATATCAAAGATACACAGTAACAGTAGCATCCCCGTATAAGCATAGAAGCAGAGTAATAGTGAATATTTTATACTGGTATTTAGTATGGACAGGGGGGTGGGGGAGGGAGCAGGGCGTCATTGCTTTTACATTCTGTCACACACTACAACTGTTTATAGAGTAACAATTACTCATTTATTGACGATATTACTCTCGTCCTCTCGTCGTTATTGACCATAATCATAACAATAATACGATATTACTCTCGTCGTTATCGACCATAATACGATATACGATATTACTCTCGTCGCTGTATTGTATTGATATTAAGTGAGTACATATCTAACCTCATGAAGAGTTATCTTATTTTGTGTATATACTCTGAAGTCATAGAGTCAGGGGATATTAAAAGGATCCCTTGACATTTGGAAATCGATATAAGAGTAGGCCGTAGTGCCGCTGTCCGTGCAAAATTTCCCTCAAAGCACACTGTATGACATATGCCCGTCTTCATTAGCCCAGTCGGAGCAGAACAGTAGGACGTTAAACCCTATTCCATATCATTATCAACCGTTGCTTTTTTGATTTTGTTCTTAAATGTATACATGTATATGAAAATCAGATATACCGACATTAATACACCATGAAATTATCGATATATATAGTATTGTATCTATATATTATTAAAAGGAAAAATAATTTTATATTCCCAATATTTTATTTCAATTTTGGAGCCACGGTGGCTATAAGTGGGTAAGGCGCTGGCTCGCTAGCCTGGAGGTGGCCTGCTCGATCCCTGCATTGGCCGAGAAAGTCCATCTCGATTGTCCGACGTGCTTTCCCCTTGTCAGTGGTGCATGACAGAGGGCCTGGCAAGGGCAGCTGTGTAGTCGTTCGGATTGGACGAAAAACCGAGGCCCCGTGTATACATTGACATGCACATAAAAGATCCCTTGGCAGTTGGAATTCGATATGAGAGTAAGTCATAGTGCCGCTGTCCGGGCAAAATTTCCCTCATAGCCCACTGTATGGCGTATGCTCGTCTTCATTAGCCTAGTCGGGACAGAATAGTAGGACGTTAAACCTCATTTCATTTCATTTATATAAATTTTCTTTATTGATAACTGAATTCATTGCAAATTACAACAAAAAAAAAAAAAACAAAAAAAAAAAAAATGAATAAAAGTAAAGTCCAAATGTACCTACCAGCTAAAACTACCAATATCACCCAAACCTTCATTTGTAGTTAAATACGTCTCGATCCGAATCCGTAGTCCGTAAAATATGTTAAGTTTGAAATGCCAGCGTCTTCTGAATACTTCTTAGCGATTTGGTTTATCTATATGCTACGTTAACTGACGAAACACTCGTTTTATTTTAACCAAGGCGACCAATAAACCTTACTTCATACCGTGTATAGAAAATATAAAGTAATGGAAACCCTCGGGATGTGTAAGCGGTGTGGACATATTTCGCAATGTTGTTTTCATATCTAAACAAACCGGTTTTATATATATATATATATTCAAAATGGCTCTGTGTCAATAGTTGCCTACATAATAGATATATATTGATGGAAAGACAAAACATGTTATATATTGTGTATGTCACCCGTCCCCACTTTATAATATGCACATTATAAGATAACATTTCAATGAATAAAGGCTTGTGAACAAAATCAAACACGCTCTCGACGCTACGTCCACAGTGAGCTGGGTGAGACCAGTGGTAGACCCGAAAGCCCAAATGAAATTTAGTTGATACTTGATGAATGCCATCGTATTAGATCTGATGCATACTCGAGTATCCTTAATCCCCTAATCTCTAATGGGATTTCCTCCTATATTGATGCAGGGAAACTAAAATATCAACACATTGAGAACATTTGCCGAAAATAAAACAGCTACCCCAAAAAACACATATATTATTTTGACACAAAATTTCACCATTTTGTAACGTTCCAGGTTTCCATCCCCTTGTAAGTGATGCCTGACAAGGACAGCTGTCTAGTCCTTCGGATGATACGAAAAACCGAGGTCCCGTGTATACATTGGAATGCACGTAAAAGATCCCTAGGCAGTTGGAATTCGATATAAGAGTAGGCGATAGTGCCTCTGCCAGGGCAAAATTTCTCTCATAACACACTGTATGGCGTATGCCCGTCTTCATTAGCCCAGTTTAGGAGCAGAACAGTAGGACGTTAAACTCCATTTCATTTCATTTCATTTCATTGTTTGTTGCCAAGTGATGTAAAAGCTTTCATGAAATGGGGTTGAATATCCCACTTTTCTGCATCAACGGGGATGGGGGGGGGGCGAATGGTTAGCGCGTGCGCGTTGTACCATATGTTCTGTCATTGAGTCAATTGCAGTGGTTTTGATTTCCGGGTTGTGCGTAACAAGGAATATGGTCGCCTGTGTGCAACCTCGTGGGTTTTCTCGGGTCCTCCGGTGTCCTCCCACAGCTAAAGACCTCAACGCGAAAGCGATATTTTGAAATAAGATTGAACTATATGTTAGTCCCGAAATGACCTAGTTTGTGTCAAGTGTACGTTACCCCCCCCCCCCCCCCCCTCTCTCTCTCTCACTTTTGTATCAACTGGGCTAATGAAAACGCACGGTTTCCATCTAACAAGGGTTATTTTACCTGCGCGGCACCTTAATTAAAGATACATTATGGGAGATAAGATAACGAGATGGCAATTCTCGCTATAATAGTTAAAAACTAGATAGTGTAAAGGTAATTTGCTGAAAATTTCAGTCAAATTGATCCACTATGAGCCGAGAAAGAAGCCGGTGAAATTTTGGCATAGTCTCGGTCATCATTACTAAAATCATTATTATAAACAGCTTAGTCTCGATTATCCACTTTTATTGATTTAATTATCAACGGCCGTTAGCGGCATATAGGAATTTAATCCAGCCAACATCGAAGGCTAGCCTTGACATCGAGAGTTTATTACGGTCTGGATAAGTTAATTAATGTCTAATTGATAATTTAGATAACATTTCAGGCCTAAAGAAAGACTTGTAATAAGCAGATTTTGCTCTTGCATAATGCATGTTTAATAAATATATTTAGAAATAAAACATAAAAATCATCCAAATTACTAGGAAATAATAAATGTGCTGCTAAAAGCAATATACGTGACAGTGTTTGGTGAGATATCGCTCTCTTGAACGTTAACTAAGACAAATGCTTTACCGACTATGAACCAATTGATATGTGAATTGCTTCACAAACAAATGTCCTAACGTTTTTCGAGTCGGAGTATTGTACTCATTTATTTATTTAAGGTCTGAATGGTTTTTATTTTGTTTTTATAAGATACACATCACGTTTTGTAGCCATGGGTAACTAAAACAACAGCTTAGTTTTAACAAGATTTTATGAGAGAGAGAGAGAGGGGGTTTAACGTCCACTCGACACAACTAGGTCATCTCGGAACTAACACATGGTTCAATTTCATTTCAATAATTCGCTTGCGCGTAGGGGTCTTTAGAAGTGGTGGGAAACCGGAGCACCCGAATAAAACCCACGAGGTTGGACAGGTGACCCTACTCCTTGTCACGTACAACCGGGGAATCGAAACCCCTCCAGTTGACTCAATGACTGACCGTATAATACAGCGCGCGCATGCTAACCATTCGGCCATCCAACCACCACTAACAGACACCGAGTAGGGCTGTTTCATGACGACCTGAAACTCATTCAGAAATAAACTGTCATTGGGTCATCTGGCGTGGTTTCGATTCCCCGGTAATACATGTCAAGGAGTAGGGTCGACTGTCCAACCTCGTGGGTTATTCTCTCGGTTCTCCAGTTTCCTCCCACTGCTAATATCCAATTGACATTTTAAAACCAGTTTAAGAGTCGTGTACTCAATGGTTTCTGACGCCATTAGTAATGAATAACGATAAATATATCCTACAAGACTATAAGTAATTATTAACAGGTCGAAAGTCCACAAGACGGTATACAAGCCAAAATGCAAGTCGAAAAGTAGAAATTAAGAAAAAACGGGGGGCGCTAATTATCGCGGTGTGTTATTTCTTAATTTCCTATTTTCGAGTTGATTCTGGCTTGTATACCGTTTTGTCGCCTCACATTTTGTCGTAACTTCTACTTTTCGACTTTTCGACTTTCGTGTTCTGAAGAGGCGAAAAGTAGAAATTATGAATGGTAGTTATAGGCTTCCATAGTAAACGACTTCAGTTCAATTTGGACTGTTCACGTATTTCACCGAACATAATTGATTAGGAATTACACTTTTAAAACTTGAATGGAATCACTTTATTTACATTAGTATGTGCTTTTAGTCCCATTTTCGTCTATAATAAGCTTCCAAATAGAATTGAGAAATACGCCCTTTAATAATAATCCGGGGGATTGGATGGCTGAATGGTTAGCACGTGCGCGCTGTATCATAAAGTCTGTCATTGAGTCAAGTGGTGTGGTTTCAATTCCCCACTTGTACGTGACAAGGAGTAGGGTCGCCTGTCCAACCTCGTGGGTTTTCTCCGGTTCCTCCGGTTTCCTCCCATTGCTAAAGACACCTACGCACAAACGAATTATGGGGAAATAAAATTGAACCATATGTTAGTCACGAAATTACCTAATTACCTGGACGTTAAACCCCATTTCTCTCTCTCTCTCTCTCTTTAATAATAATCCGTACCGCAAATAACCATGAATTTTTAAATCGTAAAAGTATTCATACGATACTTTGTGTAAGATTTTGATAAATGGCCGTCCTTATAATAGTTCAAAACTAGATAATAAAAAATGGATTTATCGAAAATTTAATTAAAATTACTTCTGTATGGAGATATGATTGTTTGGAAATGTAGAGTAAATCGTTTATTATTGTAGCAACGGTACCCGACAGCCGAGGCTAAGTCTCGATTATCCACTTCTTCGTTAAAGTTTTAAATCTGGTGGACATTCAAATCTATTTGAGAGAGAGAGAGAGAGAGAGAGAGAGAGAGAGAGAGTTTAACGTCAACTCGACACAAACTAGGTAATTTCCGGACTAATATATTAATATATGGTTCAGTTTTATTTCAATAATTCGCTTGAGTTGACTCAGAGAGTTTAACGTCCACTCGACACAAACTAGGTCATTTCCGGACTAATATATTAATATATGGTTCAATTTTATTTCAATAATTCGCTTTAGTTGACTCAATGACAGGCCTTATGGCAGCGCGTGGGTGCTAACCATTTGGCCATTCACCCCCCACCCCCCACCCCCCACCCACAAAAAAAAAGAAAGAAAAAAATCTATTTGATAATCTAGAGAGTTGATTAGGGGCGTGCCGTGTAAATCAATGTCTATAAATAAACTGTAATAAGAATTTCACAAACTGTTTAAAATTTGCAGTTATTAATTCATTTTACCGAGGTTTTGTTCTCCGTAAATCACAGGAAAGGATCCCCAAACTTTCAATATTGAACCCCTCCTTTTCAAAAATCGAGTATCCTCCCCTGAGCACTATCGTATTGTGAAAATGTCATTCTGTTATTTTATTAACATATAAATAGGTTACCGGGTTATGATAATCCGGTACTTGCACGTTAAATGGTTTAAATCAAGGTTATCAACTATCTTCAACGGTAAGTATATTTCGTCCTCTTTTCCAGTCCATGGGCGCCGCGGTGGCACAGTAAAGTAAAGGGTTGGCTAACGGTGTTAGCCGAGAAAGTTCAGTGGGATTTTCCGGTGTGGTCAACCCCTTGGGAGTGGTGTAGGACACAGGGTCGGGCAAGTGGCATCGTATAGTCCTTAGGATGGGACGCAAAATCGAGCCCCGTGTACACGTAAAAGAACCCTTGACTGTTAGATATCAGAATAGGTCGTAGCGCCGCTGCCCGGGCAAAATTTCCCTCATAGCACGCTGTGTGGCCAATGTCCGCCTTTATTAGCTCAGACGGAGAAGAACAGTAGGACGTTAAACCCAATTTCATTTTTTAGTCGATAGCCGCCCCCCCCCCCCCCAAAAAAAAAAAATAAAATAAAAAATTACATATTATAATTATTTCATGGTGCGGTCCCTCCTTGTCAGAGATGCAGGACGGAGGGCCTGACAAGGACAGCTGTCTAGTCGTACGGATGGGACGTAAAACCGAGGTCCCGTGTACACATTGGCGTGCACGTAAAAGATCCCTTGACAGTTGGAATTCGATATAAGAGTAGTCCCGGGCGTAGTGCCGCTGTCCGGGCAAAATTTCCCTCATAGTACGTCGGTCTTCATTAGCAAAACAGTAGGACGTTAAACCTCATTTCATTTCATTTCATCGGGAAAGGCTTGGCAGTTGGAATTCGATATAAGAGTATAGGCCGTAGTGCCGCTGCCCGGGAAAAATTTCCCTCATAGCACACTATGGCGTATGCGCCGGTCTTCATAATTAGCCGAGTCCGGAGCAGAACTATAGGACGTTAAACCTCATTTCATTTCATCGAGAAAGGACCGCAAAACGTACGTAAACCTTTCCGCAACAATCATTATTTTTTTTATTCAGGTCGGTATGTCGTTACCCGCGATCAATTCTAGAAAGAACACACGTACTAAATATGGCGATATATCTTATAAATACTAATCATATCTTGTATATAGTACATATTAATTATATGTCATAACATTTCGTCACACTATGGCATATTATTGTTAATCAACATGTACCATGTGCATACAGGTCGATGAGCTGTTGCTACATGTCTGTCACTGATAATAGGCGTGACTTATTAACAAGATTTGATGCACATTATAATAATCCCGTTCAATGCATTCCATACATAGATGTTGATAATACGTCACGTCATACAATGGTATTCCTTCGAAATATCATTGATATCGAAAGGAAACAATATATGTATTCACAATTAATATCCTTTCGCTGAACGGTGGGTTTTCTGGGAATTGTACGTATATCTTTCGTTTCGCTTTAACTGGTTCTATTCCATAATTTTGCGGTTTCGTAATTTAAGCAGCTCTGACATTACACGCGATAGATTCGTGTTCTGTCTTTTAAATGAATTGACGGTATATAATTATGTAACAGGCAAAGACGTCAGATAGAACAGGAATAATTTAATTTAAAGGGTTAGTATACAGTTAATTCATATTTATATAATGCTTATTTAAATGTTTTAATATTGACCCGTTCTCAATCGAACGCCGCTCAACCGGAAAGAACCCGGTTGCGTTCGTTTAAGACGTTGGTCTGAAATAGAGGAAGACAAATAGTCGAAGTGGGAGAGTCGTTTCGGCCAGATGGTGAGATATTCAGTCCAATTTTATTTTTATCTGTTTGCTTAAATTAATTTAACATTATGCAAGAGTTAAAGTAGCTAAGTCTATAACTCAATATCATCCAATGTCTTCGACATTGAAAACACGAATTATTTGTCAATTTAAAGTGGCTAAGTCTCTAACACAACATCATCCAAAGTCTTCCTCATTGAAAACATGAATTATTTGTCAGCTTAAATCAACATTGATGTTTTGATCTTATTATTTGGAAAAGATGAGCTTCTGATATCCAGTATTTAAGACAAAATAAACATTTTACCAATCGTGTACCATAAATGCGTTTCAGCGCCATTTGTAGCAAGGGACTCGAAGAACGACGCTAGACATATTCCACAAGTCATGTCAAATGGTGACGTCACATTCTTATCTGGAGAGCATGCCATGCGCAATAAATAACTATGGGTGTAGGCTGGAATAACAAGACGCAACAAATTCGCATTCGATTGAGACTTCTGGCGTATATCGCCGAACCTAACTGATTAGAAATTGCAGTAGCCTAGACACAGAAACGGTTGAATGTAAATCAGTTTACATACATTCATATTACTTTATTATATTGTGGCAATGTCTAGGTCCCAATTATTAGTGATATATAGCTCCTTTAATTCTGACTATTGCAGGTTTTTATTTATGCCTTAAATGTTATCCAAATTATTAATAAGACATTTATTAACCAATCCAGACCATATCAACTCATGATACCAGTAATTAGCTTGCGATATTTACTGGATTTGAAAACATTTTGTGATGGATAATTAAAAGTAAAAATGGATAATCGAGACTTTGTTTTTTATTGTACCAACTTTTGTAATGAAGATCGAGGCTAGGCCTAAAATTCAATCGCTAATATCTTGATTCAGAGTGGAACAATTGGACTTAGATTTTCAGCAAATTCTGTATACGTTATTCATTTTTTAACTATTATAGCGGAAACTGTCAACTCTTTATCTAATCTTACTGAATGCCCCTTTAACAAAATTATTTCTATTTTATCTTTCCTCTCCAAAAACTTAGCTAAAAATGTGGAGATAAACAGGATGTGTTTGTTTTTATCGTTATTTAAAGTAGCCAAGACTCAAAATCGTCCAAAGTCTTCGACATTGGAAAAACACAAATTACTTTTTATATCAACATTGATGTTGCGATCTTACCGAGAAAAGATGGGCTTCTGATATCCAATATTTAAGACAAAATAAACATTTTACCATTGGTACATGGATCGTGTACCATAATGCGTTTCAGCGCCATTTGTAACATTAACAAGGACTCGAAGAACGAGGCTAGACATATTCCCCAAGTCATGCGTGTTATATCATAATATCTGTCCTTGAGTCAAGTGGTGTGGTTTCAATTCCCCACTTGTACGTGACAAGGAGTAGTGTGACCTATGCAACCTTGTGGGTTTTCTCCAGTTCCTCTGGTTTCCTCCCACTGCTAAAGAATTCTACGCGCAAGCGAATTATTGAAATAAAATTGGGCCATGTGTTAGTCCCGAAATGACCTAGTGATGTTAAACCCCATTTCTCAGTCCCGAGGGCGGGTTGGATGGCTGAATGCTTAGCGTGCGCGCGCTGTATCATAAAGTCTGTCATTGAGTCGACTGGTGTGGTTTCGAATCCCCGGTTGTACGTGACAAGGAGTAGGGTCGCCTGTCCAACCTCGTGGGCTTTCTCCCACTGCTAAAGATTTTGAAATAAAATGGAACCATATGTTAGTCCTGAAATGACCTAGTTTGTGTCGAGTGGACGTTAAACCCCATTTCTCTCTCTCTCTCAGTCCTGAAATTGTACACAGTCACCGTACAGTAAATCTTAACCCGTTAGCACTGTAATTAAAAGAAAAGCGATATAATTGCGATATCAGCAATCTTTAAGAGAAGACTAGATCTCGCTTTAACTTTGTACATCTTATCATGGCCTTCACATAATACTCTAGGACCCAGCTCAAAGCCTTCCAGATTCCACGATAGAAGTTCAAGGTTCACTCAATGTCAAGGTTGCTGAAACATTATCTTTTCAGCCTCAGATTTTTCTGCTGTGATTATGTTATAAACCACTTGACATCTTACACCTAGGGCAGACAAGCATAATTCTCTCGAAATATTCTTTAAACCGCCCGAAAAAATTGCTTGTCTGCCCGTTCGCGGCGACAACAATTCTGCTCGGCAACCATTCACTAGACCGATCTCCTGTATCTAGCATGTTAGATATTTTCGGCCAAATATTTTACGCTGCCGATTGAATCACTGTCATATCGTCATATCGATTCTGCTAGTAAGTTACAACCTTACAACTTGTAACTAAGAGAAAACTTTCAACAGCTGTAAACGTAAAATCCTTTATATGTTTGTATCACAACCTCTGATTGGACAACGTTATTGTTCACGTGTCTGTGGTAACACGAGGTAACGTACCTAAAGGTTTGACAATTTCAGACTAATCAAGCAATGGCTAGATGTTGTAAAACTCGCGATCATTGCTTCACGTACATGTATCACCATGGAAACATTCGAAACTACTGTGCCATCATCTTTAGTTTAAATATCCTGGGAAATGAGGTTAAATTTCACCAACAAGGTGCATATACTGGTACCATCGATAAAATGGTTGATTTCTTCAAGTTTTATAACTGCATCCTGTCTGCTCATTGACGGGTCGTTACACAAACCGCTGATATCTCGTTGATGAAGGGAATGAGAAACCCTTCAAGATTTATAACTCCATCATTGACTGGTAGGTTACACAAACCCTGACATCTCGTTGATGAACGGGACGAGAAACACTGTTGGCTGGGTAAAAAATCTCTTCCATCACATTATGCACATAGTAAATAAAAATATACTTTCAAGATGACTTCAGTACTGTGTTGAGGCTTTAAACACATTCTGTATCTTTTTGACCAGGTGAGAATATATAGGCCTACACATTACACACTTCAACCTATGTGAAAAAAAAAGCCTATACATGTGGTTGATAATGTAGTCTGCATATTTAAAGTCCAAGGCCATGTTAACGTATAAACCTGTTCAACCAGTTTATAACTTATTATACTGTACATATAGTACATGTATATTATTGAAATATAACCAACTTGAATGAATGAAAGAGTCTTTGGCTTATCTTTATTTATCTACCTATTGTACTTCATGGACTAAAAACCAGTGACCCGTTATCTGGTTGGGGTCAGACATGTAACTGCATTTCAACAACAATAATAAGCATACCTGGTTGTACAGAAACACCTTCACTATATTTGTTTCATTCTCGTGTTTTAAAAAAGGGTTTTAAAGATGAGTTTACCTCATAATGGAGATCAAAATGCAGGTAACATTATTTACTAATTATTAAATAAAACTTAGCATAGAAATTTGAAAGTAAAGTTCTTTGATTTGTTCTTTTTAAATCTAAAATGTGATTTGTAATCATAAGAGGCCATCAATTACAAGAATCCGTTACAAGGTGCATTACGTGGGTTATTGCAAGTTTTTCTGTTAACGTTAAAATGTTAAAGGAGCTAAATCGCTAATATTTGGGACCTAGAAATTGACCCAAATGGATCGCAATGCATATAATAATGTAATCTGATTGTATATAAACTGATTTACATTCAATTGTTTCCGTTTTGACTCTAAATTCAAATCTGTTAGGTCCAGCGAGATACGGCATGAGTCTCAACCGAATAGAAATTTCTAGCGTCTGGTTATTCTAGTCTATTGCCCATGCTCACCAGATAAATTATGGCGTCGCCGTATGACATGAGTTGTGGAATATGACTAGCCTGGCTCTTTCTGGTCACTTGTTACAAATGATGCTGAAACACACTATGGTACACGATTCGTGTACCAATGGTAAAATGTTTATTTTGTCTTAAATATTGGATATCAGAAGCTCATCTTTTCCAGGTAAGATCACAACATCAATGTTGTTTTAAATTGACAAATAATTCATGCTTTCAATGTGTAAGACTTTGGGTGATATTGAGTTAGAGACTTAGCCACTTTAAGTAAACTATTAATTAGATATTTAGATGAATGCACATGACAAACACAAGCCTATAATCAACTCGCTAGAACATTCCATGTACAACATGATTTACATGGATCAGAATAATTTAACGGTAAAACGGATAATCAAGACTAAATTTCGATGTCAAGTACCGTTGCTATGATTATAAACAATCTAAGCTAAATCTTCAAACTCTGATAACTTTGCTCAAAATAATTTGGATGATCTTTCCAATATATTCATTTTACATTATCTATTTTCGAATTATTATAGCAAGAACGGCCAGCTCTTTATCTAAATCTTACATTATGTATCTTTAAACTTTAATTTAACAAAAGACAGTTTATAGGCACGGGACTATTTACCCAATATGAACACAATACCACCACATACTACCCAGTACTACAACATGATGATGCAAAACGGGCGTATTACAATATTTTTTTTCAAAAATAGAGATTACCGATGTCTCACTGTCCTATTTGCCTCCCCAATTTATAACCCCAAATACTATTCAAATACTACCCAATATTATCAAACAACAACAAATAGCAGCACATTAGTATAATCCCTTCAACAAATATTTGATAAATTGAAGATAGTTGAAATATTTATGCCATATCATGCCCCATATACCTGAAGCAATGGCCCGAGAAATCCCACTCTGGCCATTGCTGGATTGGTTTCTGATACCTGAGCTTTTGAGAGAGTACTTCTATTCTTCCCGTTCAATCAAATCTCTCCTACGTCAGCCCTTCGTTTAATCTGGGGGTCTTCCCTAAAATT